CGGAGGTTGCAGTGAGCTGAGATCGTGCCACTGCACTCCGGCCTAGGTGATAGAGTAAGACTCTGTCTCAAAAAAAAAACCCACCAACAACAAAAAATAAATATCAAAATCTAAGGAGGAAATTGAGGCTGATGATCTATGAGAAGACAGATCAGCTATACCAAGAAAGGAATACCCTTTTAGTTAAAACTTATACTCACGTGGCCAGGTGCTGTGGCTCACGCCTGTAATCCCCACACTTTGGGAGACCAAGGTGGGCGGATCACTTGAGGCCAGGAGTTCCAGACCAGCCTGGCCAACATGGCAAAACCTTGACTCTACTAAAAGTACAAAAATTAGCTCTGTGTGGTGACGTGCGCCTGGAGTCCCAGCTACTATTGAGGCTGAGGCACAAGAATCACTTCAACCTGGGAGGCAGAGCCATGAGCCAAGATTACCCAACTGTGCTAAAACCTGGGTGGCAGGGCAAGACTTTGTTTCAAAAAAAAAGAGAAGAACCCTCATACTAAAGCATCATCTGGGGGAAAATTACTAATAAGATTATGGTTGGAAAATAGCCAGTGTAATATATGATCTACATAAATTGTAAAACAGAGACATTATGTAATATTAAATGATATGTTGAAATGAGTTGTGATAAGTATAAAGAGAAGGGTCAGATCTATTCAGTGGAAAATTAGCTGGAAAGGACTTTTTGTTTTTCTCTTAAATTATCATAGGATGAGGTAGACCCAAGCTGGGTATTAAAAATATGTTAGGAAGGCCAGGTATGGTGGCTCACACCTGTAATCCCAGCACTTTGGGAAGCCGAAGCAGGCAGATTGCTTAAGCCCAGGGGTTTGAGACCAGCCTGGGCAACACAGAAAAACCCCATCTCCAGAAAAAATAAAAAATTAGCCAGATATGGTGGCACATGCCTGTAGTCCTAGCTACTCTGGAGGCTGAGGTGGGAGGATTATTTGGGCCCAAAAGCTCAAGGCTCCAGTGAGCTGTGCTATCACTGCACTCCAGCCTGGATGACAGAGGCTCCATCTCAAAAAAGAAATTGAAGAGGACACCAAAAAATAGAAAGATGATCTGTGTTCATGTATTGGAAGAATCAGTATTGTTAAAAATCTCTGTACTACCCAAAGCAATCTATAGATACAATGCAATCCCTATAAAAATATAAATGACATTCTTCAAAGAAATACTTTAAAAATCCTAAAATTTATATAGAACCACAAAACAGCCAGAGTAGCCAAAGCTATCCAAAGCAAAAGGAATAAAACTGGAGGAATCACATTACCTGACTTCAAATTATATTACAGAGCTATAGTAACCAAAACAGCATGACACTTGCATGAAAACAGACACATAGACTAATGGAACAGAATACAGAACACAGAAACAAACCCACACACCTACAATGAACTCATTTTCAATAAAGGTGCCAAGAACATACGTTGGGGAAGGAAGAGTCTCATCAATAAATGGTACTGGGAAAACTGGATATCCACATGCAGAAAAATGAAACTGGACTCCCATATCTCATATACAAAAATCAAGCCAAAATGGACTAAAGCGGTCAGGCGCCTCTACAGGCTCACGCCTGTAATCCCAGCATTTCGGGAGGCCAAGGCAGATGTATCACTTGAGGTCAGGAGTTCTAGACCATCCTGGCCAACATGGTGAAACCCTGTCTCTATTAAAAGCACAGAAATTAGCTGGGTGTGGTAGTGCATGCCTATAATCCCAGCTACTTGGAAGGCTGAAGCAGGAGAATTCCTTTAACCTGGGAGGCAGTGGTTTTAATGAGCTGGGGTCATACCACTGCACTCTAGCCTAGATGACAGAGCGAGACTCTGTCTCAAAAAAAAAAAAAAAAAAAAAAATGCCGGGCATGGTGGCTCACACCTGTAATCCTAGCACTTTGGGAGGCTGAGACAGGTGGATCATTACAAGGTTGGGAGATCAAGTCCATCCCAGCTAACACAGTGAAACCCCGTCTCTACTAAAAATAAAAAAAATTCGCCAGCGTGGTGGTGGGTGCTTGTAGTCCCAGCTACTCAGGAGGCTGAGGCAGGAGAATGGAGAGCTTGCAGTGAGCCAAGATCGTGCCACTGTGCTCCAGCCTGGGTAACAAGAACGAGACTCTGTCTCAAAAAAAAAAAAAAAAAAAAAAGGAATAAAGACTTAAATCCAAGACCTCAAACTATGAAATGACTAAAACATTGGAGACACTTTCTAGGACACTGAAGTGAACAAAGAGTTCTTGGGTAATACCCCACAAGCACAGGCAACAAAGTGAAAGTGGACAGATGGGACCATATCAAGTTAAAAAAATTCTGCACAGCAAAGGATACCTTCAACAAAGTGGCTGGGTGTGGTGGCTCATGCCTGTAATCCCAGCACTTTGGGAGGCTGAAGTGGGAGGATTACCTGAGCTCAGAAGTTCAAGACTAGCCTGACCAACATGGCAAAATCCTGTCTACTAAAAATACAAACATTAGCCAGGCGTGGTGGTGTGCTCCTGTAGTTGCAGCTACTTGGGTCTGAGGCAGGAAAGTCACTTGAACCCAGGAAGCTGAGGCTGCAGTGAGCCGAGATCGCACCACTGCACTCCAGCCTGGGCGACAGAGTGGGACCCAGACTCTGCCTAAAAATAAAAAATAAAAAATAAAAAATAAAATGAAGGGACAACCCACCAAATGGGAGAAAACATTTGCAAACTACCCATGTGACAACGGATTCATAACCAGAATATATAACAGCTCTCTAGGAAAAAAAAAAATCTCATCAGTTAAATCAAATTTAAAATGGCAAAATGATTTCAATAGACATTTCTCAAAAGAAGTCATGCAAATGGAGCCAGATGTGGTGGCTCACACCTGTAATCTCAGCACTTTGGGAGGCCAAGGTGGGCAGATCACTTGAGGTCAGGAATTCGAGACCAGCCTGGCCAACATGGTGAAACCCCATTTCTACTAAAAATACAAAAATTAGCCAGGTGTGGTGGTGGGCACCTGTAATCCCAGCTACTCTGAAGCCTTAGACAGGAGAATCACTTGAACCTGGTAGATGGAGGTTGCAGTGAGCCAAGATCATGCCACTGCACTCCAGCCTGGGCAACAGAGTGAGACTCCATCTTAAAGAAAAAAGACATACATATGGCAGACAGGTATGTGAAAAGGTGCTGAACATCACTGGTCATCTGAGAAATGCAAATCAAAACTATGAGATATCATCTCACCCCAATTAAAATGTCTTTTTTCTGAAAGACAACAACAAATGTTTGTGAGGATATGGAGAAAAGGGAACCCTCATACAGTGTCGATGGGAATATAAATCAGTACAACCACTATGGAGAACAGTTTAGAGGTTCCTCAAAAAACTAAAAATCGAGCTACTGTACAGTCCAGCAATCCCACTCCTAAGAATATACCCAAAAGAAAGGAAATCAGTGTATCAAAGAGGTATCTGCACTCCCATGTTTATTGCAGCACTATTTGCACTAGACAAGATTTGGAATCAAGCTGTGTCCATTGACAAACAAGTGGATAAAGAAAATGTGGTACACATACACAATGGAGTGCTATACACACAAAACAAAATGACATCCTGTCAATTGCAACAACATGGATGGAACTGGAGGTCATAATGTTAAGTGAGATAAGCCAGGCGCAGAAAGACATACTTCGCATGTTCTTTCTTTTTTTTTTTTGGAGCTAGAAATTAAAACAATTGAACTCCTGGAGATAAGAGAGTAGAATGATGGTTACCAGAGGCTGGGATGGGTATTTGGAGGCAGGCGGGATGGATGGTTAATGGATGTTTAAAAAAAAAAAAACAGAATGAGTGAGACCTAGCATTTGCTAACACAAGAGTGTGAGTATAGTCAAAAATAATTTAATTTTACATTTTAAAATAACTAAAAGAGTGTAATTGGATTGTTTGTAACACAAGCAGTAAGTGTTTGAGAGGATGGATACCACATTTACCCTCATGATTGTTATGCATTGCATGCGTGTATCAAAATACCATGTAGGCTGGGCGCGGTGGCTCACGCCTGTAATCCCAGCATTTTGGGAGGCTGAGGCGGGCAGATCACGAGGTCAGGAGATCATGACCATCCTGGCTAACACGGTGAAACCCCATCTCTACTAAAAATACAAAAAATTAGCCGGTCGTGGTGGCACATGCCTGTAGTCGCAGCTATTCAGGAGGCTGAGGCAGGAGAATCACTTGAACCCGGGAGGCGGAGGTTGCAGTGAGCTGAGATCACACCACTGCACTGCAGCCTGGGTGACAAAGTGAGACTCCTTCTCCAAAAAAAAAAAAAAAAAATCAAGTAACCCACAAATACACACACCTACTATGTATCCACAAAAATTTTTAAAAAAAATTTTATGCAGGTACAGAGGCTATGGGATAAGGCAGGAAAATACAATCAATACTGGGCAATTTGGTGATACAAAACAAGTACAAAACAATTGCATTGTATCTGTATTATTGGTATACAAAAGAAGTACATTGATAATACAGAGTAGGTGAAAAGTATTATTGGTGTATAAAACAAGAGTAACTAATGGTGCAGAGAAAGGAAAAATTGGTATGGATTGGATTAGTCATATAGGCTTAATTGGAAAAAAAAATAGGCAACATGGTATCACTTTTTATGACTGTAATATCTTTTTCAGGAATTTGTATGGTGTTTTTCTATTTTGTGAAATGAGAATATAAACCCCCCAAAGGTGTTTATAAGTCATACATTAGCTGAGCATGCCAAGAGCTCTTATTTCTTGTTATAGTGTAGTGTGCCAAATAAAAACTATATTCAAAGCCGAGTGGATTTGAGGAAGTAAAATATCTACTTGGTCTATTTATCGTGTTGTACAGATCTAAACAGTAGGAATGTTTAATACATTCTGAAGATATAGATTATAAAACTTTCCTTAAATACTATATTTCTAGTTTTGATCAATTTAACAGTCTTTTTTCTTTTGTTACTTCTTATTAAGGGTCAACTGTATTTGTTGGTAACGGACCAGGGGTTTCTTACTGAAGAAAAAGTTGTTTGGGAAAGCCTACACAACGTAGATGGTGATGGAAATTTCTGTGACTCAGAATTTCGTCTTCGGCCTCCTTCAGATCCTGAAACTGTATACAAAGGACAACAAGATCAGATAGATCAGGTAAATTTGTATTGTCTTCTTTATAGTGCTTAAAATGCTGATTTTTTTCAAATGTGAATTCAGTTATTCAAAATTTTTCAACTAAAGATTAATTCATCAATATACTTGTGAAATTTTCCTGACACTTCTGAATAGTTGGTGATCATTCTACATGTACATTAATTATGTACTTTGGTGCAGAAGGCCAGATCATATTGAACTGTGAAGGTTAGGGTGAGAAGTTTGAATTTTATTCTAATTGCAGTAGAGAAGCTATGTCAAGCATTAAACATGGAAGTGATGGGATCTTCTTTACCTTTTTAAAAGACTGCTATTTGGAGAATACATAGGAAGGATACAGGTTTAAGCAGAGACAAACAGTCCAAGCAAGAGCTGATGATGGCTTAGCCTTCGGTGGCAAAGATGAAGAGATGAGCACATATCTGAGTTATATTTTGACTAGTTAGAAAAAGTAGAGGAGGCCGGGCGCGGTGGCTCAAGCCTGTAATCCCAGCACTTTGGGAGGCCGAGACGGGCGGATCACGAGGTCAGGAGATCGAGACCATCCTGGCTAACACGGTGAAACCCCGTCTCTACTAAAAAAAATACAAAAAACTAGCCGGGCGAGGTGGCGGGCGCCTGTAGTCCCAGCTACTCGGGAGGCTGAGGCAGGAGAATGGCGTGAACCCAGGAGGCGGAGCTTGCAGTGAGCTGAGATCCGGCCACTGCACTCCAGCCTGGGCGACAGAGCGAGACTCCGTCTCAAAAAAAAAAAACAAAAAAACAAAAAAAAGAAAAAGTAGAGGAGAGAGAATCTGGAAGGTAGCATATACTGTATAAAGAATGGGTGGATATTCTAAACCTTAGAGGCCAAGGTAAGAAGGAGTAGACATTTATAGCAGGAGGCACACTAGTGAATAGAACTTGCATTTAGAAATGAGACAGATGAGATTTTTTTTTTTTTTGACAGATGAGATTTTTGCCTGCCATAAGTGGGCAGGCTTGGAGCCACAGGTCTGTTTATTATTAGAGGCATGATGGTGATGTGAATTCTTCCCTGACTGAAGCAAAAATATGGTCATATTAAACAGTTGGCATATATTTCACTCATAACAATTTAAGTGCACAAAGACTGTGTTCAGTTAGCCAATATTCAGTGAGGAGTTGTATTCCTGGCATGACACTTAGGTCCTAGGGATACAAAGATAAATCATTCCGTCCTGTCCTTGAAGATGCTGAGCCTAGTAGGGGAGGCAGATATTTGACCAACGCATGTTATATGTTAAGTCCTATAATGGCAATTTGAAGAGCAGGTATCAAGTACACAAAAGAATACTTAATTCAAACAAATATGCTTCTAGGACTTTTCTTTGAAAAACAGTTCTGAAAGTCATTGTGCTCATTTTCCTTCAGAAGCTATACACGGGTATTGTGTTTTAAATGTTAAGAGAAATGTGCGGGATTTTTCTAAGCGTTATATTATATATAAAAAATATTGGGCCGGGCATGGTGGCTCACGCCTATAATCCCAGCACTTTGAGAGGCCGAGGTGAGTGGATCACCTGAGATTGGGAGTTCAAGACCAGCCTGGCCAACATGGCGAAACCCTGTCTCTACTAAACATAAAAAGATTAGCCAGGTGTGGTGGTGCGCACCTGTAACCCCAGCTACTCGGGAGGCTGAGGTGAGAGAATCGCTTGAACCCAGGAGGCAGAAGTTGCAGTGAGCCAAGATCGTGCCATTGCACTCCAACCTGGGTGACAGAGCAAGAGTCTGTCTCAAAAAAAAAAAGGCGAGGCGCAGTGGCTCACACCTATAGTCCCAGCACTTTGGGAGGCCAAGGCGGGCCGATCACGAGGTCAGGAGATCAAGACCATCCTGGCTAACATAGTGAAACCCCATCTCTAATTTAAAAAATGCAAAAGATTAGCTGGGCATGGTGGCATGTACCTGTATAGTCTCAGCTACTCGGGAGACTGAGGCAGGAGAATCGCTTGAACCCGGGAGGCGGAGGTTGCAGTGAGCCAAGAAAAAATTGGAGCAGGGGAATGAAGGCAAAGCAATAGATTGTCACAGTAGTCCAGATAAGGTGTTGAGATTGTTATCTGGAAGCAGCAAGGAAGAAGTGGATTCAAGACCATGAGGCTTCGTAAAGAGCAGAGTTTGAGGAATCAGAAGAACTTGAAGGACAAATTATTTATATCTTTATATCCATGAGATAGTCATGCTATATGTATGACAAGATCTTTACAGGCAACAACCTTTTTTATTTTTTGAGACAGGGTCTCACTCTGTCACCCAGGCTGGAGTACAGTGGTACGATCTTGGCTCACTGCAGCCTCCACCTCCTAGGCTCAAGCAATTCTCTCACCTTAGCCTCCCGAGTAACTGGGACTACAGGCATGTGCCACCACACCTGGCTAATTTTTGTATTTTTAGTGGAGGCAGGGTTTCGCCATGTTACCCACACTGGTCTCGAACTCATGGGCTCAAGTGATCTGTCCGCCTAGGCCCCCGAAAGTGCTGGGATTACAGGCGTGAGCCACCCCACCTGGCCACAGGCAAAAACCGTTTACCCATCCTCTGTATTATTTAAAATTATCTTATTTTGAGGGTAGATGGGGGAGGAGGTACACAGACTGGTCAAATTTTAGTCAGCACTGACTCTTAATAAAGTGGATATTAAGTTAACGCTTGACCAAAATGCACTTTTTCTGATAGAAAGTAATCTGAGTGTGTACATGGGAGTAGGAAGGAGATGGTTAAATAATTGAGTAAGACTATATGATGGCTACTATGTTGTCTTTAAAAATCATCTTTTAGAAGAATATTTAATAATATTGGGAAATTCTTATTTTTTAAAACAGAAGACTTTTAGGACACTAAATGGAAAAGAAAACATTGCAGTAGTTTCAGAGGGTTGGTTTGAATTTGTATGGGAATGTAGAAAAATAATAATAAACTACTGTTAACAGTAGTTGTCTCTGTGTAATGATATTATGGTGATTTAAATTTTGTTATTTATGGTTTTCAGTTTTGTCTGAATTGCCTATAAGCATGTGTTTCTTTTGTAAATGGGGAACTTTTAAAAATTCTTTAAACCAATTTACTTATTTATTTATACATGAAACAGGGTCTCAGTCACCTTGGCTACAGGGCAATGGTGTGATCACAGCTCACTGCAGCCTCAACTTTCTGGGCTCAAGTGATCCTCCCACCTCAGCCTCCCCTACATGTAGCTGGGACCACGGGCATGTGTCACCATGCCCAGCTAATTTTTTGTGTGTTTTTTGCAGAAATAAGAGTTTTGCCATGTTGCTCAGGCTGGTCTCAAACTCCTGGGCTCAAGCAGCCTGCCCGCCTCAGCCTCCCAAAGTGCTGGGATTATAGCTGTGTGCCGTTGTACCTGGCTCCCCTCTACTTTTTGTTTTGTTTTGTTTTTAGCTTTCTTGACTGCCTATATATGGCTTCCAAAAACAATTTCAAATACGTTCCCCCCGGTTTTTTTTTTTTTTGCGACCGGGTCTTGCTGTGTCGCCCAGGCTGGGGTGCAGTGGCATGATCTTGGCTCACTGCAACCTCCGCCTCCCAGGTTCAAGTGATTCTCCTGCCTTAGCCTCCCGAGTAGCTGGAATTACAGGTGTGCACCACTACACCTGGCTAATTTTTGTGTTTTTCATAGAGATGGGGTTTCACCATATTGGCCAGGCTGGTCTTGAACTCCTGGGCTCAAGCGATCCACCTGCCTTGGCCTCCCAAAGTGCTGGGATTACAGGCGTGAGCCACCGCGCCTGGCCTCCAAAAATATTTAGAACAATGTCAGAGTCACTGAAATAAGTTCATAGCTCCCCAAGGGAAATACTTAGGAAGGTAACTGTCATTTTAATATTTAAAATAAAATGGTTTTTATTTTATTTTAATTATTTGTCATTTTATATTGTTTTCTTTTTCTTTTTTTGTTTTTATTCATTTTTATAGACAGGGTCTCTGTCACCCGTGTTGGATGGAGTGCAGTGAGGAGATCATAACTCACTGTAACCTCAAACTCCTGGGCTGACACAATCCTCCTGCCTCAGCCTCCCAAGTAGCTAGGACTACAGGTGCACATCACCACACGTGGCTGATTTTTAAACTTTTTTTGTAGAGACAGGGTCTTGCTATATTGCCCGGGCGTGGCATATTTTTTTAAAGCCATTCTTACAGCTTTATAGATATAACATCTATATTTGCAGTCTTTCATTCTTGGGCAAAATCTCATGGCTAATGATGGTTATAATTTAATTTCTTAGGATTATCTTATGGCATTATCTCTACAACAAGAACAGCAGAGCCAAGAGATCAATTGGGAACAAATCCCAGAAGGAATCAGTGATTTGGAACTAGCAAAGAAACTCCAAGAGGAAGAGGACAGACGGGCTTCTCAATACTATCAGGAACAGGAACAAGCAGCAGCTGCTGCTGCTGCTGCTTCTACACAGGCTCAGGTAAAAACTAGTGTTCTGAGTCTTAAATGTGATGATCACAGCTGGGTGCAGTGGCTCACACCTGTAATCCCAGCCCTTTGGGAGGCCGAGGCAGGCAGATTGCTTGAGGCCAGGAGTTGGAGACCAGCCTGGCCAACATGGCAAAACCCCGTCTCTACTAAAAATACAAAAATTAGCCGGGCGTGGTGGTGAACACTTGTAATCCCAGCTACTTAGGAGGCTGAGGTAGGAGAATTGCTTAACCTGGAAGGCAGAGGTTGCAGTGAGCTGAGATTGTGCCGCTACACTCCAGTCAGGATGATAGAACAAGACTCCTTCTCAAAAAAAAAAAAAAAAAAAAGGCGATGATCACCTTAGCAGTAAATTTCACTTGAGATAAAAAATTTTAAATTAGGTATTAACTCTTCCATTTTGTTAGGAATTTAGCACCCATGGGTTTTATGACATTGTCCTAAGCTTGTATCTCGTTTAGTAAAATATTTTCTCCTGAGGTTCTGATTTTCAGATTTATTTCTAAAATTCATAATAGCTGCCAAGAAAATAAGTCAATTTGGACGAAGTCCTTTCTATCAACTAGAGGGCAGTATGAGGTACTACTAGAAAAAATATAGACTTTCGATCCAGATAAATGTAGATTTGCATTTCCTGCTCCTGTCTTTCCTTCTAGTTGCAATCTCTTGGATGACATCCTCTGCCTCTCTTAGCCTCATTTTCCCTATCTGTAAAATGAAGAACTCTTAAGTTTGTTGTGAACAACAAATAATATTAGGGCTTAGCCCAATGTTTAACATGTACTAGGTATTCAACAAAGATTGACATCTCCCTACTTTTCACTTTCCGTAAACCGTTTAAAGCACTTAAAATATAATGGTGAGATTCTACATGTTAAATCTCATTTCATTAAGTTAAAAATATTCCCCTCCTTTTATATTTATACCATGCCAGACTGCTGTTCTTTTTTTTTTTTCAGATGGAGCCTCACTCTGACGCCTAGGCTGGAGTGCAGTGGTGCAATCTCGGCTCTCTGCAAACTCCACCTCATGGGTTCAAGCCATTCTCCTACCTCAGCCTCCCAAGTAGCTGGGATTACAGGTGTGTGCCACCACACTCAGCTAATTTTTGTATTTTTAGTAGAGATGGGGTTTCACCATATTGGCCAAGCTGGTCTCAAACTCTTGACCTCAAGGGATTCACCCACCTCGGCCTCCCAAAGTGCTGGGATTACAGGCGTGAGGCACCGTGCCTGGCCTAGACTGTTCCTTTTGATTCAGATATACAAGAAATTCTGATTTGGGCATACAAAAAAAGCAAGATGCTCTTTTAAGTCTCATAAAACTAAATATAGAAGTCCCCATTAAAATAAGTATAAAATTTCTATTTCTAGCTCAAATATTGCCTACTCCAAGCTTAATAGTTAAATCCTACCACGTTATGCCTAGCTTTTCACTCAAAAAAGGTGTCTTATTTCACATTCCACACTCCCAGTTCTCAGGGGTTCTTTTCTCCTTTTAAGATGTTTATTATGGCTGGGTACAGTGACTCACACTTGTAATCCCAGCACTTTGGGAGGCCAAGACAGGTGGATCTCGAGGTCAGGAGTTCGAGACCAGCCTGGCCAATATGATGAAACCCTGTCACTACTAAAAATATAAAAAATTAGCTGGGCGTGGTGGCATGCACCTGTAGTCCCAGCTACTCAGGAGACTGAGGCAGGAGAATCTCTTGAACCAAGGAGGCAGAGGTTGCAGTGAACCGAGATCATGCCACTGCACTCCAGTCTAACAGACTGAGACTCAATTTCAAAAAAAAAAAAAAAATCTGTTTATTATGGAATTTAGTGAGGTTTTGAAGAACTATTATAGTTTATCAAAAGGTGTCACTTTCTTTAACATTTTCTAAACTTTTGACAAATGTGTCTTCAATTTGACTTTAGGCAATATAATCTTATGTTATTTACTGTTTGAAATACTGACTTTGGGATGCCAAGGTGGGCGGATCAAGAAGGCAGGAATTCGAGACCAGCCTGGCCAACATAGTGAAACCCCGTCTCTACTAAAAACACAAAAAGTTAGCTGGGCGTGGTGGCAGGCACCTATAATCCCAGCTACGTGGGAGACCAAGGCGGGAGAATCTCTTGAACCCAGGAGGCGGAGGTTGTAGTGAGACAAGATTGTGCCATTGCACTCCAGCCTGGGCAACGGTGCCAGACTCTGTCTCAAAAAAAAAAGAAATTTTATTTATTTAGAATAATGAATGCATTCATTATATCCAGAATGGTAGAGGCAACTGCTCATATACCACGTAATATAACAAATCTGTATACCAATAGCTAACTTCTTTTTCCATCAGTGATTCCTTCCACTGTTATGATTTTTGTTTCTATATAACCATGAATAAGTCCCTTAGATTAATTTTTTCCTGCGTATTTTTCTTAAAGCAGGGCCAGCCAGCACAAGCCTCTCCATCAAGTGGAAGACAATCTGGGAATAGTGAACGTAAACGGAAGGAACCGCGAGAAAAAGATAAAGAAAAAGAAAAGGAAAAAAATAGCTGTGTTATTTTGTAACAAGTGTTGGCTTCTGTTGGAACCACCTATATGTCTTGAGAAACAAAACCACAGGAGGAAAGGAAGAAAACCCGATCAATACCGTCTGTGCCTGATTTCCCAATGGATTTTGTTCATGTTTTTTCAGGGGAAAGGTTGTTACTTAGTTACAATCAGACTTTTTCAAGTCACACAATACACTCTTTATGAGCTGGAGTTTCGTGTTACAAGTTGGAAATGCTGTGTGTTGTCATTCATGAAAAACACTGCACTTGTAGCCAGATAAGCAAATCACAGCAAATTTTGTGTCATAGTGACATTCATAACTCATATCAGTTAGTAAGCTATTATATCTTCTGTTCTAACAATGAATGGAGGTAATTGATTTAGTCTGATTCCTTCCTGAAATCTAAATATTAGCACAATAGTTTCTGAAATTTTACAATGTTAAATTATGATCTAATCCATGAGAAACCACGGGTTTAACATAGGGATTCAAAAAAAAAAAAAACAAAAACAAACAAAATAATAGGAATAAATAACCCTTAATTGTATATTGGACTAGTTCAGCCCTTAAACAGCTTTACCTTTATTTAGGAATGTACATTTTAGGTATTATCTTGAGAATTGATCATGGAGCTTAGATTTAATTTAGATAGCAAAAATAAAGATTTGTATTTCTTTTCCAATAGCAAAAGGTTGCATAACACTAATACTTATAACCTATCAATATCAGATATTAATGACTTTGTAGTGTTGTAAAATTTTGAGGAATTTTGGAGTCTTTATCATAGGTAACCTGGACCACAGTTACTATTTATTGGCAATGTGATTGAGTATATGGAGGAAAGCACAGTGGATGCTAGGCCTTGTAAATATGGGGATGTAGAAAAGTAGATAGTTCAGTGTCTACCTTTTTCTAGTATTACCTTGAACCTTAAATTTTAAGTCATGTTTATTGCTAGAAAATTAAATGTACTTATTAAAACCAATGAAAAAGCACATTTCTGAAAGGAAGTTAGAGATAATCTCTGTGTCTTATGAAAAGACATTAATAAAAATCTGAGAGGGCCGGGCGCAATGGCTCACACCTGTAATCCCAACACTTTGGGAGGCCAAGGCGGGCGAATCACCTGAGGTCAGGAGTTCACGACCAGCCTGACCAACATGGTGAAACCCCATCTCTACTAAAAATACAAAAGATCAGCCGGGCATGGTGACGGGCGCCTGTAGTCCCAGGTACTCAGGAGGCTGAGGCAGGAGAATTGCTTGAACCCGACAGGCGGAGGTTGCAGTGAGCCGAGATCGCACTGCTGCACTCCAACCTGGGCAACAAAGCGAGACTCCATCTCAAAAAAAAAAAAAAAAAATCTGAGAGTAGCTAAGAATTTGGAGGAATTAATGTAAAAGCAATCAGAGTTTTTAACGTATGGGAACCAAATAAAACTATAACCTCTTATAGTGTTTATAGAACTCAGAAATACTATTTATTTAACTTTATTATGAGGCCACACATATTTTCCTGTGTTTCTATATATAGTTTGGAAAACTGTCCTCAATAGTCTGTTTTATATGCCTTATATTTAAAAGTTTGTTTTAGTCATTTTGAAAGACTATTGCTGCTGCAAATAGTTGTGTACTTTACATTCTAAGCTTCAGTACATTTCTTTATTTAAGAGCATCATAATCTGACCTGAGCATCCACTTGGAGAATGTTTTTTTGTGTGTGTGGTCTAGGGTGACAAAAGACCACAGAAATGTGTGGTCTGGATTTTTTCAACTACGTCATTAACTTTATGATCCTAGACCAGTTATAGGATGAATCTATATGTAAAAATAAAGTCTTATTTATGGAAGGAATTATTCTAAGGGAAAAATCCAGGGTCAAGCTGTATCTTTTATGTCCTCTATATTGCATGTCTATTTCTGTTACACAATTCGTTATTTCTTCAAATTTCCTATGGTAGTATGATAAATCATCAAAGAACCTGTTTGGGATATAAAACTCTGATAGAAAATATTTCATGAGTATCTTGATTATAACCTAGAATATATATACATTAGTAATAATAACCCGATATACTGCAGAACTCTCTATTGGCTCAAACAGGTTGACCTCAATCCAAGTTTACTCTTGATATCACTATTGGCTGAAGGTGGAAACTCAAACCTCAGGGTTTGTTTTTCTCGGGACAGATAGTAGTGATAGTGCATTATATTTTAATAAGAAAAACCAGTAAACCTTGAGAAATTTTAAAAAGCATAGTTGAAGCATATTTTTTCATAATTATATACTTATCTATTTATTGCCCACGGAAAATATATGTGTAGAAGTATTTCTTCTGTTATTTGTTACTATCTTCTTAATTTGTTCCAAAGAAAATACTGCCATACTGCATTCCCTCTGGAAGGAAACAAAACAAAACAAAACTTACTCAAAACCAGCAGTGCTGCTATCAGATAAGTAGATGTCAATATATACTTACGAGGAAAAACTAAAAAATGTAATGTGTTAATTCAGCCTTTTTCTATGTAATATTTCCAAGTCAGACTTTCTTACATTCCTGGAATTTAGTTTGATATACCAAGAATAATAATGATAAAATGTTTGCTTTGATTACTGTGGGGGGAAAAATGAAATGTAAATTGTATTAAAACACACAAACTTTTCAGAGATACTGGTTTCCTGTCCTTAAAGGGTATAAAGAATTTAGATCATGCCTGTAATCCCAGCACTTTGGGAGGCCGAGGCAGGTGGATCATCTGAGATCAGGGGTTCGAGACCAGCCTGGCCAACATGGTGAAACCCTATGTCTACTAAAAATACAAAAATGAGTCAGGCATGGTGGTGGGCACTACTTGGGAGGCTGAGGCAGGAGAATCGCTTGAACCCAGGAGGCAGTTGTTGCAGTGAGCTGAGATCACGCCACTGCACACCAGCCTGGGCAATAGAGCGAGACTCCGTCTCAAAAAAAAAAAAAAAATGTAGCGCTACTGTGTCTTTATTTTCTTAAATTCTGCCCAAGGTAACATTATATATCCAGCCATTTCATTGCTGGTTTGGGTACATAGGATTTTGATAGTGGTATATTAAAGTCTCTCCTTCCAAGTATTTTGTAATACTTGGAAATTATTAGATATATACTGCTAACAAAAGTTAGAACTTAAACATCTTTGTTTTTATCATTTATAGCCTAGATTAGGGACACATTTGCATCCAGCACATCATCGTTAGATTTGAAAATAGGCAGATGAATGAACAAATATGGTCACTGCACTGTCCTTTTACTTTCCGAGTCTAAGTATATTCCTTAAGGTTAGTAACCAGAGTCGTTATTGAAAATCTAAAATTTTTCTTCATGTCTAATCCCACTGCATCCACAATGCTGTGATCTGTAGTACATGATCAACACTTACTGTACGTGTGTGTTTCTGAAGCAAGTTATCAGGACCTCTGTTAGAGTCTCAAAAGAATTCACAACTTCCCTTCAATTTAAGAATCACCATTTTAAGAATACATGTGTACATATACACATTAAGCAGTATGAGGCAGCTAAAATTGGCATTGGTTTTACACTGGTCCAGTGTGCTTAGGTAAAGTAACTTCTTCCGTGTTTCAAGGTCAGGTTCAGAGTTGAATGAAGCGTAGATTTAAGTTTAGGATTAGGCTTTGGAATATATCTTGTTTTTAATGTCTCATATTTCTGACTACTTATCCCATATTATGTGTCAAATTCTCATATTTCAAGTTCTTTCTCATACTTCTTGATCTTGGCTTAACTAAAGAAGTTAATATCAGAGACTAGTTGACCAAACCCAAGATTAACCATTTTGCACTTGCACAAAACCTTCTTAGCATTTTGCTTTCAATGAATCAGAAAGTCAGTTCACTAAGAGATGGATCATGAGAGGAAAGAGAACTAGAAGTCCAATAAATAAGAAAATAATTATTCATATATTAACATTGACATGTGAACTACATATCTAAAATCTTGCTGGAGAAAAATCAAGGCAAGAATTTCCAGAACTGTCTGCAAATAGCTCATTTATTTAAGTTTTGTTAAAAAGCAAAAGTGTGGCCGGGCGCGGTGGCTCAAGCCTGTAATCCCAGCACTTTGGGAGGCCGAGATGGGCGGATCACTAGGTCAGAAGATTGAGACCATCCTGGCTAACACGGTGAAACGTCTCTACTAAAAAATACAAAAATACTAGCTGGGCGAGGTGGCGGGCGCCTGTAGTCCCAGCTACTCGGGAGGCTGAGGCAGGAGAGTGGCGTGAACCCGGGAGGCAGAGCTCGCAGTGAGCTGAGATCCTGCCACTGCACTCCAGCCTGGGCGACAGAGCGAGACTCCATCTCAAAAAAAAAAAAAAAAAAAAGTGAATTGATTTACATTTGATTAACTTTTCCTATTCCATGCACTAGTTATTTTAAAACATGATAAAAACCTTCTGGGCATTACCTATCACACAGTACTTATGCATAAACTTAGTAAAATTACTAATGTTTGATAAAATAAGATGGAGGCATAACGAATAGTCTATAATTTGTATTTTAAGGAATTGGACATGAACAATTCTAGATCATTTTGTGTCTATAAACCTGACTTTCTATCTTGCCTTGGGCAAACTTTCTGTGCCTCAGTGTACTCTAAATATGTGAAGGATGCTCTTTTTGATTAAGTGTTTTGCACTCCTGAATAAAGGGCATAGTATAAGCACAAAGTATGACTTAAATTATCACAAATATTACACATCCTATGTTCTTCAGTGTGCACACTTTTTTCTCAATAACAAAATTTATCTTGTCAGTTTTTTTTAATGCTGTCAAAATTTGTAGTTTCTTTGAGTATGGCATCATCTCTTCCCAAATGCATTTTACAGTTGCTTTTGTGTTCTATAGACTATAGAGTCAAAATCAAGAGTATTTTGGGAGGATCAGAAGCATTTAAAAATCTATTTTTTTCTAGTATCTTTCACAGATCTAAATATTTAGATTCTCTTTGCCTTTTTCTCCATGAAATAAAGTACAGTGGTATAAAATTACTAATACAGTATATAACCTTTGTTTGCATTGGTGGAATTCATTTAGATCTCTTAAGTGCTATTATTTTAGGGCTATATAAACTGTGTTTTTAGTGTAAAATGTTATTTGATAATGTGAAGTTAAATCCCTTTTAGAAAGTGACTGAAAATGGTAAAGGAACTCGACAGAATCTTAGAGTTCTTAGGTTCTCTGATTTAGTATCTTTTATTAATGATGTCCAACACCTCTAAGACTGTTGAGAAAACATGAAGAATTGAGGTTACTCTTCTCAGGTGACACTTTAAATATTAAAATCAGAGGCTTCCTGAACAAAACAAATTGCAAAATAGAGACAATAACATGAGAGAGGCCAAATGCAGGACTCTGGTAAATTTAACTTATTTTGAATATCTTATCTAAATTTTAGTTCATGCATGTTCTTACTTAATCCTGGTGTTTCTGCTGTTAGATGTTAGAGTTTAATAAATTGTGATATGCATATATTTTTTTACATGAAGGATTCTAGTTTCTAATTTTACTTTTCTGATCTCAAAAAAATTAAACTTGAAAAACAGGGTAAAATTCTTCAACTATTGCCTCAAGTTCAGTTTTGTCCTATTGTCCTGAAAAAGGAGATTTAGACTTGTCTGCCTAACAGGTATTTTTTAGGGCATGGTACTATCCCAGAGAAAGTGTTGAGATACCATGGCAGAAATATAAAATCTAAGCTTTGAACCCCAGTAGACTTCTTATTCTGCCAGTAAGTCTCTCTACTGTATCTAATATTCTAAGGATTTCTTCAAACCACTTAATAATTTGTCACCATTAACTTTAATATCCGGTTTTAATCTGCACTGTAATATCCTGCTTTGAGAAGAATGCCTCATAAATCAGGGAAGTACAAAACAAAATGTTTTGGAAGGTGATCCTGGCTCCTTTGGCTCTCATAATTGTTTTATAACTGTAAATAAAAAGTCAAGAAACTGGCCTGCCGCAGTGATTCATGCCTGTAATCCCAGCACTTTGGGAGGCCGAGGTGGGAGAATCACCTGAGGTCAGGAGTTCAAGACCAGCCTGGCCAACATGGTGAAACCCTGTCTCTACTAAAAATACAAAAAAAAAAAAAAAAAATAGCAGGGTGTGGTGGCATGTGCCTGTGATCTCAGCCACTGGGGAGGTTGAGGCACAAGAATCACTTGATCCTGGAAGGCAGAGGTTGCAGTGAGCCAAGATTGCCCTACTGCACTCCAGCCTGGGTGACAGAGCAAGATTCTGTCTCAAAAAAAAAAAAAAAAAAAGTCAAGAAACTGAAATTCTCAGTTAAGTTCTCAAATCGGTGACCTGTCAAAATAGGCCTTGTAACTGAAATACCTTACGAAGCAGTTCTAACTAATGCAATGTGTTTTTAAAAAATGTTTAATGAACCTTACATTGTGAACATAATTGCAACATGTTTTAAGACTTAACAGTATTTAATCCTTGAAGACCTGTCTTGTATGTCTCTCAATTTTGTCAGAATTTTTATTATTGTTTTTCACATATGTGAAATAAGCATTTTTTTCAGGGTATATAGAGTATCTTTGTTTTACATATTTTTAAAGATGAGTTTTTGAAAAGCCCTCAGAGGTTTTTGTTAAAAGACTATCTTGCTTAATAAATGACAACTTGTTACAGATTCACACATTACAAGTAGGACAATATAACAGGAGATTGGTGTATGACTGCCTCACAGCAGTCAGCAAAAGGGATCATGTTTGCTTGTGAAACTTCAGAGGTACCCTGAAAGTCATTTCCTGAAGCTAGTGCATGTGAATCTTTTTCCTTGAATTGTGCAGAATAATTGGATTGAGGCACATATTTTGAGGAGTAGCAAGTGGAATGGTATAATGACTACAGAGAAAATTATCTTGAAATATAGCAAGGAAGAGAAATAAGTTTTCTTTCTCCACTTTATTGTTGGACTAATTGGGTCAATTTGCTGTGACATAGCAAAGATCTCTTTGTGCCAGTCCAAGATTGGCTACTGAGTTCTCAAAGCGTTTAAATATATAGATTGCATATGAGTGCCTATTTTTTCCTCCTTTCATTTTCTGTCTTAATACCCTTTTTACTTCTGAAATAATTAATCTGTTTTGCTTTATGACCAGCTTTAATTTCAACTGAGGAATAATAGCAATCCTAGAGATTCATAGGAAAGAGCATTGAAAAACATTTTTTGAATAAAGATACCTAAACCATCTACCCAGCTTAGGGTTGAACTGAATTTCTGTGAAATAAATTTGTTTTAAATACTAATTATTCTAAAACTACTTAATTCTTAAAAACAGTGTCTTCAGTTTCAAAAGTTTCACTTTGGGAGGATATTCCTAAAAAGGCATACATAGATGGTAAAATATAAAATATTTCTGACAGAATTATTCAGTATTATTCAACATTTACTTTCATGTTTGTTATTGTACCACAAAGATAGTGTCATTGTTGGATTAAAATGTTGGCTGTTTTTGTTAATATACTTAAAACTGTAACCAGTGAATAACACCTGTAGTATTTTTTATTATAGATTATATTTTATTTCAATAAACTTTGATATTTAGACCAAAGTCTGTTTGCTCTGTATATTCATGTAATTGAGCTACAAAGTTCAGAAAGATGAGCAGGGAGATGGGGAACTGACATATTGATTCACATTTACCTATAACTCTTAGAATATTTGGGCCAACTTTTGATAAAGAGAGAACTTACTGAGCCCAAGAGGCTGAGGCTGCAGTGAGCCATGATCATGTCACTGCAGTCCAGCCTGGGTAACAGAGTGAGACCCTGTGTCAAAAAACAAGCTTAAGTGTTGGTGAGAAAACAAAAAACAGACCCTCATATATGACTGATGGGAATATAAATTGGGGCAGTCACTTTGGAAAACAATCTGGCAGTTCCCTCAATGATTAAATACAGAGTTGCTGGCCGGGCGCGGTGGCTCAAGCCTGTAATCCCAGCACTTTCGGAGGCCGAGACGGGTGGATCACTAGGTCAGGAGATCAAGACTATCCTGGCTAACACGGTGAAACCCCATCTCTACTAAAAAATACAAAAAAACTAGCCGGGCGTGGTGGCGGACGCCTGTAGTCCCAGCTACTCAGGAGGCTGAGGCAGCAGAATGGCGTAAACCCGGGAGGCGGAGCTTGCAGTGAGCTGAGATCCGACCACTGCGCTCCAGCCTGGGCGACAGAGCGAGACTCCGTCTCAAAAAAAAAAAAAAAAAGAAAAAAAAAAATAGAGAGAGAGTTGCCATATGACCCAGCAATTCATTCCCAGATGTATACTCCCAGAGTAATAAAAACACATGTAAACATAAAAACTTGTGGCCGGGCGCGGTGGCTCAAGCCTGTAATCCCAGCACTTTGGGAGGCCGAGACGGGCGGATCACGAGGTCAGGAAATCAAGACCATCCTGGCTAACCCGGTGAAACCCCGTCTCTACTAAAAATACAAAAAAAACTAGCCGGGAGAGGTGGCGGGCGCCCGTAGTCCCAGCTACTCGGGAGGCTGAGGCAGCAGAATGCCGTGAACCCGGGAGGCGGAGCTTGCAGTGAGCTGACATCGCGCCACTGCACTCCAGCCCCGGCGACAGAGGGAGACTCCGTCTCAAAAAAATAAAATAAAATAAAATAAAAACTTGTACAGGAATGTTCATAATGGTATTATTTGCAATAGATTAAAGGTGAAAACAGCCTAAATGCCCATCAGCTGATGAATGGATGAACACTATGTGGTAGATCATACAATGGAACATTATTCAACTCTAGAAAGAAATGAAGTACTGCTGTATACCACAACACAGATGACCCTTGAAAACATCATGCTAAGGGAAAAAAGTCAGTCACAAAAGATAACATTTTATATTATTTCATTTAATAAAATCTCTACAGTAAACTCTGAAGATAAAGTAGATTAGTGGATGCTTATGACTTGGGAAGAGAGGGTCAACAGTGACAACTAAAGAGTATACGATTTCTGGCCAGGTGTGGTGGTGGCTCACACCTGTAATCCCAGCCCTCCAGCCCGGCCAACAAGAGCGAAACCAGAAAAAAAAAAAAAGAAGTATAGTATAGGATTTCTTCACGAGGTGATGAAAATCTTCTAAAATTCATTGTGGTGATAATGGTGTGTATCTGAGAATATACTAAAATAATTATACACTTTAAGTGGCTGATTTGAAATGTATGGCATGTGAATCCTATCTCAATAAAATAATTTGTGTGTGTGTGTGTGTGTGTGTGTTTTTGTTTTGTTTTTGAGACAGAGTCTTGCTCTGTCTTGCCCAGGCTGGAGTGCAGTGGTTCCATCTCAGCTCACTGCAGTCTCCACCTCCTGGGCTCAAGCTATTCTCCTGTCTCAGCCTCCCGAGTACCTGGGACTACATGTGTGTGCCACCACACCTGGCTCATTTTATATTTTGAGTGTAGACAGGGTTTCACCATGTTGGCCAGGCTGGTCTCGAACTCCTGACCTCAGGTGATCCACCCGCCTCGGCCTCCCAAAGTGTTGGGATTACAGTTATGAATCACCGCACCAACTTTTTTGTTGTTGTTGTTTTGTTTTGTTTTTTGTTTGTTTGTTTTGAAATAAGGTCGTGCTCTGTCTCTCAGGCTGGAGTATAGTGATGCGATCTTAGCTCACTGCAGCTTTGATCTCCTGGGCTCAAGTGACTTCCACCTCAGCCTCCTGAGTAGCTGGGATTACAGGCGTGCACCACCCCCCCGGCTAATTTTTGTATTTTTAGTGGAGACAGAGTTTTGTCATGTTGTCCATGTTGGTCTCCAACTCCTAGGCTCCAGTGATCAGCCCACCTCAGCCTCCCAAAGTCCTGTGATTACAGACATGCACCACCACACCAGGCCAAAAAAATGGTTTTGAAAAAGAAAAGGTTTTAATTTTAGCAAATCAAATCCAGTAAGATTTGGTTTTACATATATATATATGTGTGTTACATGTGGTGCCAACCTTGAGTTTGCCGCTTATGTCCTTTATGAGGCTGAGGAAATTCCCTTCTATTCCTAATATGCTCAGAGTTTTTATTACAAATGGGTATTAAATTCTGTCAAGGGCCGGGCGCAGTGGCTCACGCCTGTAATCCCAGCACTTTGAGAGGCCTAGGTGGGCGGATCACGAGGCCGAGAGTTCGAGACCAGTCTGGCCAACATAGTGAAACAGCGTCTCTACTAAAAATACAAAAAAAAAAAAAAAGAAAAAATAGCTGGGAGTGGTGGCAGTCGCCTATAGTCCCAGCTACTTGGGAGGCTGAGGCAGGAGGATTGCTTGAACCCAGTGTCATAACCAAGTGTCAATTTTCCCCAACTTACAACATTGGTTTAATATTTTAATATCAGTCAGTGTAATTAACCATATTAACAGAATGAAGAGGAAAACCCCTGTCAATATCATCATATCATCTCAACAGACATAGAAAAAGCATTTGACAGAATTTTTTTTTTTTTGTCTCACTCTGCTGCCCAGGCTGGAGTGCAATGGCACAATCTCCACTCACCACAACCTCCGCCTCCTGGGTTCAAGCAATCTTCCTGCCTCAGCCTCCCAAGTAGCTAGGACTACAGGCGACTGCCACCACTCCCGGCTTTTTTTTTTTTTTTTTTCTTTTTTTTTGTATTTTTAGTAGAGACGCTGTTTCACTATGTTGGCCAGACTGGTCTCGAACTCTTGGCCTCGTGATCCGCCCACCTAGGCCTCTCAAAGTGCTGGGATTACAGGCGTGAGCCATTGCGCCCGGCCCTTGACAGAATTTAATACCTATTTGTCATAAAAACTCTGAGTGTATCAGGAATAGAAGGGAATTTCCTCAGCCTCATAAAGGATATAAGTGGCAAAATCAAAGTTGACACCACACATAGTGATGGTGAAAGCCCGAATACTTTCTTTCTAGAATTGGGAACTGTGCAAGAATGTCTGCCCTCGCCACTTCTTTTGACACTCTATTGGAGATAGCAGCCAATGCAGTAAGGCAAGGGGGAGAAGAGGCATTGAAATTAATAAGGAAGATATAATGCTGCCTTCATTCCCAGAAGACATGATCGTATACATGGAAAACCCTAAGTCATCTAAAGTAAAGCTACTAGAATTAATAAGTAAATTCTGCAAAGTCACTGGATAGAAGGATCAATACACAAAAAATTGTATTTCTATGTACCGGCAACGAATAATGAAAAATGTGTAAGAGGAGTCCCGGTGAGCTTTGTGCACGTGTGCGGGGAGGTAAGGGGTCTTGGGGAGCCTCGCCTGAGTGAGTCAAGGACATGGACATACAGTGTATTACAAAAGGTGCCTTGTACCTTGTCCAAGGACACAGAGCTGGTGGGAGGCAGAGCTGGAATTTGCTCCAGAGCCTTTGTGCTGTAGGACAGGCTGCGGGACGAGCTGCAGGACTGAGGTACAGAAGCCGCGGAGGGGGCCCAGCGAGAAGCCGGGACTTGACTCCGTGGGATCCCACGAGACAGACACCCTTTCCTCACCGCCCGAGTGAGCGCCGCTCCTCACAGAGACCTCTTTGCCCCCTGGGCCACGCGGGGCAGGCGCTGCCATCCAGGAGGCCCCATGGAGCTGGTGGTGCCGGTGAAGCAGGAGGCCGAGGGCCTGGCGCCGGGTTCCTCGTGGCACCGCTTCCGCCGCTTCCACCTGGGCGACGCGTCGGGCCCCCTGCACTTGGTCCGAGGTGCAGACCAAGGAGCGGGTCCTGGAGCCGCTGGTGCTGGAGCAGTTCCTGAGCGCGCTGCCCGCTGACACGCAGGCCTGGGTGTGCAGCGGGGAGGAGGCGGTGGCCCTGCTGGAGTTGTTCTGGGTGAGCCTGACGGGGCTACGACGGAGGAGGGGAGGAGGCAGGGGAGCGGGGAAGCCACGAGGAAGCCGAGGGAAGACCGCCGCTTAGCCCCCGAAAACCAGTGGGACCCATGGTGGGGAGGCCACGGCGCAGAGGGACAGTCCATGTGGGGTTCCATCCAACACCAGCTGCAAGTCGGTAGGGCCCCCAAGACCTTGGCATACTTGCGAGTTCTCTAGAAGGACTCAGCCATGTTCACAGTCACGCTTATCATAGAGAAGGACGCGCTGGAAGCAGCCGGGAAGAGGGCGCGGAAGGCTCCACGGAGACTGGGTATCAGCTGTCCTCTCCCCTCACTCCTCCCGGCACGCAGGGAGTGTTGCCAGCCAGGGACGCTCCTCAGACCTTGTGCCCTGGGTTCTTGTTCTTACTGGGGACTCCTCCCCTCTCTGTGTGGCTGACCTCAGCCTCCAGCCCCCCCAAGCTCAGGGATACCATCTGGCCCAAACTCCACCCCAAATTCATCTTGCTGTGCGCTGGCCTAAGGCCCCCAGGCAGTCAGACCCTCCTCATGCGTGAGGCACCAGAGGTTCAGAGATGATTTCCCAGGGGCGGAGGGCAAAAGCCAGGCCTCTCTCTGGGCAGGTCTGGATTCTTTTTTTTTCTTTCTTCTTTTTCTTTTTTTTTTTTTCTGAGACAGAGTTTCGCTCTTGTTGCCCAGGCTAGAGTGCAGTGGCATGATCTCGACTCACTGCAACCTTCGCCTCCCGGGTTCAAGTGATTCTCCTGCCTCAGCCTCATGAGTAGCTGAGCTCACAGACGCCCGCTACCACGCCCAGCTAACTTTTTGTATTTTTAGTAGAAATGTGGTTTCACCATGTTGGCCAGGCTGGTCTCGAACTCCTGACCTCAGGTGATCCACCTAATCTTGGCCTTCCGAAGTGCCGGGATTACAGGCGTGAGCCATCGCTCCGGGCCCCAGGTTTGGATTCTTTACCACACAGCAGGCATGGGCCGACTCACTGTCTGGGGCCCGCCTAGCCCAGCCCAGCACCTGTCTTTGTGAAGTCTTGGTGCGCAGCCATACCCATTCACTTACGTCATCTGTGGCTGACTGTTGCCACCGTAACTACGACAGAGAGCCTGAGAAGCTGGAAGCATTTCCTGTCTGGCCCTGTAGGGGAAGCTTGCAGCCTGGCTTAGGAGTACGCTGCCCAGGGAGGATGTGTAATGTGAACCGCAGACGCCATCTTACGTGTTCTAGTCGCCACGTTAAAAAAGGTGAAAAGAAACTGGTGAATTTAGTTTTGATAACCTACTTCACTGACCCTAATGTCTTCAAAATATTTTCCTCTCAATACGTGACACTCTCACGTGCCGGGAGGCTGCTGTGTGGGGCCTGGGTGATGAGCAGCGGGCAGCCACGCAGAGATCTCTGAGAAGAGTGGTCCAGGCCACGGGAGCAGCCAGTGCAAAGGCCCTGAGGCGCCTCGAGCAGCAGAGGGGCCCGTGAATAAGGGAGTGTTAATAGTAAGGCTGGAGTCCCCGGAGGTGGGAGGGTGAAGAGTCAGAGCAGTCGGGTGTTCATCGTAGGTGTGCACAGAGTGCCTGCTGGGTGCTGGGATGTAGCAGCAGAAAGGGGGCGTCTAGGTGAGGCAAAGCAAGCAAAAGCCTTCAGTCCACGGCAGCAGGGCGTCCTTCCTTTCTTCCAGAGGGAGCAGCTCCTGTCAAGGCTGCCAGTGGCTTCTGCGCCACCCAACCCAATGACCTCTGCGCCACCCAACCCAGTGGCCCCGTTCATCTGCCTTCTTTTTTTTTTTTTTTGAGAGGGAGTCTCACTGTGTCCCCCAGGCTGGAGTGCAGTGGCACAATCTCAGCTCACTGCAAGCTCTGCCTCCCGGGTTCACGCCATTCTCCTGCTTCAGCCTCCCGTGTAGCTGGGACTACAGGCACCCGCCACCGCACCCAGCTAGTTTTTTGTATTTTTAGTAGAGACGGGGTTTCACTGTGTTAGCCAGGATGGTCTCGATCTCCGGACCTCGTGATCCTCCCGTCTCGGCCTCCCAAAGTGCTGGGATTACAGGCGTGAGCCACCGCGCCCGGCCCCATCTGCCTTCTTATGCAACCTGACCAGCCCCCAAACACTCTCCCCCATTACTATCTGGGATACAGCTCACCCCTCCTCTGCTCCCACCTCCAGGCACCTCTGTGCTGATTATGGCTTCTCTATCCTCACCCTCCTTCTGGGTCAGTGTTCCCTAAAGTGGGTTGTATCAAATCACCACAAACCCAGTGGTGTACCAATAACACACGTCTGTTATGGTTCTGGAGGTCGGAAGTCCAAAACGGGTCTCAGAGCCCAAAATCAAGGTGTCTGCAGAGCCACATTCCTTCCTGAGGCTCTAGAGGAGAATCCGGTTCCTGCCTTTTCCAGGTCCTAGAGGCTGCCTGCATTCCTTGGCTCATGGCCCTTTCTCTGTCCTCAGAGTGCTGCACTCCAAACTCTGCTTCCGTCTCCCTGTCACACCTCTGACCCTGACCCTCTTTGGTCCTGTGGTCACTTTGTAGGATGCCTGTGATAAGACTGGGCCCATCAGAATAATTTAGGATAGTTTCCCCGTGTCAATGCTTAATTCTCTCCCATCTGCAGAGTCCCTGTTGGCCTGTGAGACAGGTTCTGGGTATCAGGCCAGGTACATCTTTGGGCCATTTTTCTGTCTGCCATAGAGATGAGATGAACACAGGGTGAACTGGATGTGGAGTAGAACTAACATGGGATTTGTCGGCCTCAGGGTTACTCCCTTTCCGTTTTTCATGACTCCTCAGAACAGGAGCCGGCGTGGGTGCCATATAGGTAGATTTCAGCCACTGTAACCACTCTGACCTCCTGCCATCTGTTTCTTTGGCATTAAAATGTCCTTTTAGGAAAAGATGGTAAAAGTACACTTGGTAGTTATTATTGCTTTTAATGTATATATCTTGCAAAATAAAAACAGTCCCTTCCATTTGGGATGCAGTGGAGAGTTAGAAAAAAAATGTGTAAGACCTATACAATGAAAATTATAACACATTACTGAGAGAGATTAATGAAGGCCTACAGCCTGCTGAATGAAGAGAGACGCTACTTATGGGTTGACAGATTCAGTACTCTTTGTTTGTTTTGTTTTTTGGTTTTGGGTTTTGTTTGTTTTTGTTTGTTTTGAGACAGAGTCTCGTGCTGTTGCCCAGGCTGGAGTGCAGTGGCGCTATCTTGGCTCACAACAACCTCCGCCTCCCCAGTTCAAGCAATTTTCCCCGCCTCAGCCTCCTGAGTAGCTGGGAGTACAGGGGGCCGCCACCACGCCTGGCTCATTTTTGAACTTTTACTACAGACGGGGTTTCACCACGTTGGCCAGGCTGGTTTGGGTTTTACCATGTTGGCCAGGCTGGTTTCAAACTCCTAACCATGAGTGATGCACCCAACTCAACCTCCCAGAGTGCTGGGATTACTAGGCATGAGCCACCATGCCCGGATAGGAAAATAAGTATTTTCAACAAATAATACTGAAAAAACTGGATATCCGTATTAATATGGTTTGGGTCTGTGTCCCCACCAAATCTTATGTGAAATTGTAATCCCCAGAGTTGGAGGTGGGGCCTGGTGGGAGGTGAGTGGATCGTGGGAATGGATCCTTCATGAATAGTGTAACACCCTCCTCTTGGTGCTGTTCTTGTGATACAGTTCTCACAAGAGGAGGCTGTTTAAAAGTGTGTGGCACCTCCACACTTCGCTCTCTTGCTCTTGCTCTGAGCAAGAGGCTCTTGCTTAGGTATGTGCCTGCTTCCCCTTCGCCTTCCGCCATGATTGTAAATTTTCTGAGGCCTCCGAAGAAGCGGAAGCCTCTATGCTTCCCGTACAGCCTGCAGAACTATGAGCCAAGTAAACCTCTTTTCTTTATAAATGACCCAGTCTCAGTTATTTTATAGTAATGTGAGAATGTACTGGTACACATACAGATAAAAATGAACCTTAATCCTTAATTTATGCCATACAAAAGTTAATTAGAAATGGACTTTTTTCTTTTTCTTTTTTTGAGATGGAGTCTCAGTTTGTCGCCCAGGCTGGAGTGCAGTGGCAAGATCTCGGCTGACTACTACCTCTGCCTCCTGGGTTCAAGCGATTCTCCTGCCTCAGCCTCCCAAGTATCTGGGACTACAGGTGTATACCACCACACCCAGCTAATTTTTGTGTTTTTAGTAGACATGGGGTTTCACCATGTTGGATAGGCTAGTCTCAAACTCCTGACCTCAGGTGAGCCACCCGCCTCAGCCTCCCAAAGTGCTGGGATTACAGGTGTGAGCCAGTCTGCCTGGCCCGAAATAGATTTTATGTAAATGTAAGGCTAGTTGCAGTGGCTCATACCTATAATCTCAGCACTTGGGGAGGCTGAGGTGGATCACTTAAGGTCAGGAGTTCAAGACCAGCCTGGGCAATATTGGGAGACCCTGTCTCAACAAAATAACCTATAAAAACTAAGACTATAAAAGTTCTAGAAGAAAACATAGGAGAAAAAAAGTATGTGATCATGAGGTAGGTGAAGATTTCCTAGATAGGACCCCCCCCCCCACCAAAAGAAAATCCATGAACCTTGAAAGAAAAAAAGTTGATAAACTGAACGTCATCAAAAAAATTTTTTAATAGAGTTGCGGGGTCTCACTGTTGCCCAGGTTGGTCTTGAACTTCTGAGCTCAAGCAGTCCTCCCACATCATCAGCCTCCCGGAGTGCTGGGATTACAGGTGTGAGCCACTGTGTCCAGCCTAACTTCATCGTAATTTTTTTGTTTGTTTTGTTTTGTTTTGAGATGGAGTTTCACTCTGTTGCCCAGGCTAGAGTGCAGTGGCACAATCTTGGCTCACTGCAACCTCCACCTCCTGGGTTCAAGTGATTATCCTGCCTCAGCTTCCTGAGTAGCTGGGATTACAGGCACCCGCCACCACGCCTGGCTAATTTTTTTATTTTAGTAGAGATGGGGTTTTGCCGTGTTAGTCAGGCTGGTCTCGAATTCCTCACCTCAAATGATCCACTCACCTTGGCCTCCCAAAGTGCTGGGATTACAGGCGTGAGCCACCGCACCCAGCCCACTTCATCGAAATTTAAAAATACAATTAAAGATGGCCAGAACCACCATCTTCCAGTAATTTGCCAAAATGATGAACACAAAGGGAAAGAGGAGAGGCACCCAGTATATGTTCAGCCTTTTAGTAAACTTGTTGTTGTTCCTTTGGCCACATATATGCAAATCTATAAGAAAGGTGATATTGTAGACATCAAGGGAATGGGTACTGTTCAAAAAGGAATGCCCCACAAATGTTACCATGGCTAAACTGGAGAGTCTACAGTATGACCCAGCATGCTGTTGGCATTGTTGTAAACAAGTTAAGGGCAAGATTCTTGCCAAGAGAATTAATGTGTGTATTGAGCACATTAAGCACTCTAAAAGCCAAGATAGCTTCCTGAAACATGTGAAGGAAAATGATCAGAAAAAGAAAGAAGTCAAAGAGAAAGGCACCTGGGTTCACCTGAAGCAGCAGCCTCTACCCAGAGAAGCACACTTTGTGAGAACCAATAGGAAGGAGCCTGAGCTGCTGGAACCTCTTCCCTACAAATTCATAGCATAATAGGTGTTTTAAAAAAAAATAAAAGACTTCTGCACTGTAAAAAATGTTTCTCTTGGCCAGGGATGGTGGCTCATGCCTGTAATCCCAACACTTTGGGAGGCTGAGGTGAACGGATCACCTGAAGTCGGGAGTTCGAGAACAGCCTGACCAACATGGAGAAACCCATTGCTACTAAAAATACAAAATTAGCCAGGCACGGTGGTAGGCACCTGTAATCCCAGCTACTCAGGAGGCTGAGGCAGGAGAATTGCTTGAACCCAGGAGATGGAGGTTGCAGTGAGCCAAGATCGCACCATTGCACTCCAGCCTGGACAACAAGAGCGAAACTGTCTCAAAAAAAAAAAAATTGTCTTTATTGAGTAGAGGGTGCTGTCCTCTCCTCTGTCGGGGGAACCAACCCCCAATATTTCAACTAGGTTTTCTATTTTTCCTAAGTGTCAACAAGTCTGAGAAATAAAGAGAAAGAGTACAAAGAGAGGAATTTTACAGCTGGGCCTCCAGGGGTAACATCACATATCGGTAGGTCCGTGATATTCCCTGAGCCGCAAAACCAGCAAGTTTTTATTAGCGATTTTAAAAGGGGAGGGAGTGTACAAACAGGGAGTAGGTCACAAAGATCACATGCTTCAAAGGGCAACAAAGATCACAAGGCAAAGGGCAAAATTAGAATTGCTGATGAGGGTCTATGTCCCGCTGTGCATGTATTGTCTTGATAAACATCTTAATAGAAAACAGGGTTCGAGAGCAGAGAACCAGTCTGACCAAAATTTACCAGGCTGGAATTTCCCGATCCTAGGAAGCCTGAGGGTACTGCAGGAGACCAGGAGACCAGGGTGTATTTCAGTCCTTATCTCAACCACATAAGACAGACACTCCCAGAGTGGCCGTTTATAGATCTCCCCCCAGGAATGCATGCCTTCCCCAGGGTATTCCTTGCTGGGGAAAGAATTCAGTGATATTTCTCCTACTTGCACATCCGTTTATAGGCTCTCTGAAAGAAGAAAAATATGGCTGTATTTTGCCCAACTGCGCGGGCAGTAAACCTTATGGTTATTTTCCCTTGTTCCCTGAAAATTGCTGTTATTCTGTTCTTTTCAAGGTACACTGATTTTATATTGTTCAAACACATGTTTTACAATCAATTTGTACAATAGTGGTCCTGAGGTGATGTACATTCTCAGCTTACAAAGGTAACAGGATTAAGAGATTAAAGACAGGCATAAGAAATTATAAAGTATTAATTTTGGGAACTGATAAATGTCCATGAAATCTTCACAATTTATGCTCTTCTGCCTCAGCTCCAGCCAGTTCCTCCGTTCAGGGTCCCTGACTTCCCACAACACTCCCCCAAAGAAATATTTAAAGCAAATTTTAGTTGTATATTAATTCAGTGTGTCATGTCTTTACTATTCAGATTTAATCTGATTTCTTGCTGAAAGATGTGAGGTGGCTTATTGTGCAACACATTATTCAACTGGTTAGAAAACGGCCACATACCATTTATGAAATATTTGTACTGGCTCGAAGATAGTCTCTCTAAATCATTGTGAAAGAATAAAATAATTTACAAAAATGTTAAAACATGGAGTAAAGATTTAAATAAATAATTCATGGCCGGGCATGGTGTCTCACGCCTGTAATCTCAGCACTTTAGGAGGCTGAGGAGGGTGGATTATGAGGTCAGGAGTTTGAGACCAGCCTGACCAACATAGTGAAACCCCATGTCTACTAAAAAATACAAAAAAAAAAAAAAAAAGTAGCCGGGCATGGTGGTACACACCTGTAATCCCAGCTGCTTAGAAGGCTGAGGCAGGAGAATCACTTGAACCCAGGAGGCGGAGGTTGCAGTGAGCTGAGATCGTTCCATTGCTCTCCAGCCTGGCCAACAGTGAGAGATTCCATCTCAAAGAATAATAATAATCCACAAAGGAAGATATATTAATGGTCAATAAGCACATTAAAAACATGTTCACCATCATTAGTCAGAAAAATATGTACACACATTTGGGCTGGGCACGGTGGCTCACGCCTGTAATCCCAGCACTTTGGGAGGCCGAGGCCAGTGGATCACCTGAGGACAGTAGTTCAAGACCAGCCTGGCCAACATAGTGAAACCCCGTCTGTACTAAAAACACAAAAAATTAGCGGGGCATGGTGGCCGGCACCTGTAATCCCAGCTATTTGGGAGGCTGAGGCAAGAGAATCACTTGAACCTGGGAGGTGGAGGTTGCAGTGAGCCGAGATCATGCCATTGCACTGTAGCCTGGGCAACAAGCTCAAAACTCCATCTCAAAAACAAAAACAAACAAAACTACACTCAACTATACTGAAATAGTACAGCATACCCACTAACAAAGGGTAGCGTTGAAAAGATTGACAATACCAAGTGCTGGTGCATCTGTAGAGCAATTTGAATCCTTTACATTGCTGATGCACAAAGGCACAACGATTTCAGAAAACTCTTTGGCAGTTTCCTGTAATGTTAAATATACACTACCATATATCCAGTCCTATTTACCCAAGAGACATGAAAACGTGTCGGCTGGGCGCGGTGGCTCACTCTTGTAATCCCAGCACTTTGGGAGGCCGAGGCAGGTGGATCACAAGGTTAGGAGATCGAGACCATCCTGGCTAGCATGATGAAACCCCGTCTGTACTAAAAATACAAGAATTAGCTGGGCGTGGTGGCGGGTGCCTGTAGTCCCAGCTGCTCGGGAGGCTGAGGCAGGAGAATGGCATGAACCTGGGAGGTGGAGCTTGCAGTGAGCCAAGATCGTGCCATTGCACTCCAGCCTGGGTGACAGAGTGAGACTCTTGTCTCAAAAAAGAAAGAAAGAAAATGTGTCCACACAAAGACTTGTACACAAATATTCATAGCAGTTTTATTCATAATAGCCAAACACTGTCAACAACCAAATTTCCATCAATAGGTGAATGCACAAAAACTTGTGGTACAGCCGTACATTGGAAACCTACACAGCAACAAAGAGATGGAATGACTGATACAGCAACATGGCTGAATTGCAGAAACACTGCGCTGAGTGAAAGGAACGAGACACAAAATAAGACATTACTGTATGATCCTGTTTATATGAACTCTAGGAGACAAAGTCTCCAGTGGTAGAAAGCAGATAAGTGGTTGCCTGGGGCTGGAGATGTGGTTTAGGATGACTGGGAAAGAGCACAAGGAAACTTTTAGTGATGCAGATATTCTTGATCATCGTAGTAATAACTTGGCTGTACACATTTGTCAATGCTCATTAAACTGTACACTTAAAATGTGTGCATATTTGTAAATTTTACTTCAAAATACTTTTGTTTCTATATGCTAGCAATGAACAATTAAAATTGACATTCAACAAGTCCACTTATAATAGCATCAAACAAAATACTAGAGGTAGATGTAAAACCTATGCACTGAAAACTAGAATTTGAGTTAACTTTACTTTGGTCATTCTATGTGATCACTTGGAGTTTTTGTGTTTAAATTTTAAAAATAGTCAAGCAGGCTGGGCGTGGTGGCTCACGCCTATAATCCCAGCACTTTGGGAGCCTGAGGCGGGCAGATCATGAGGTCAAGAGATTGAGACCATCCTGGCCAACATGGTAAAATCCCATCTCTATTAAAAATATAAAAAATTAGCTGGGCATGGTGGCGGGCACCTGTAGTCCCAGCTACTTGGGAGGCTGAGGCAGGAGAATCGTTTGAACCCAGGAGGCGGAGGTTGCAGTGAGCCAAGATCATGCCACTGCACTCCAACCTGGGTGACAGAGTGAGACGCTGTCTCAGAAATAAAAATAAAAAATAAAAAAAATAGTCAAGCAGATAAAACTTACTTGAAAAAAATAGTTAAACTGTGTGTCAACTGGAAAGTGTAATATTTTTGCTTAGTGAATGAAAATTTTAGTTGATGCAAAATGAGACTCTTGATACACTCCTTTCTTTTTTGAGACAGAGTCTCGCTCTGTTGCCCAGTCTGGAGTGCAGTGGTACGATCTCGGCTCACTACAACCTCTGCCTTCAGGGTTCAAGCAATTCTCTGCCTCAGCCTCCCGAGTAGCTGGGATTATAGGTGCCTGCCACGACACCTGGATAATTTTTGTAGAGACAGGGTTTCACCATCTTCACCAGGCTGATCTTGAACTCCTGACCTTGCAATCCACCTGCCTCAGCCTCCCAAAGTGCTGGGATTACAGGCGTGAGCCACCGTGCCCGGCCTCTTACACTTCTTTCAAAGGTCATTCTCTACTTAGTGGAATGAAAACAAAGTATGGCTTATCTAAATAATACATAATATTAATATTTCACAACTTAACCAAGGCAGTTTGGCTGTTTTTGTTTTTAAAGAGACAGGGTCTCACTATTTGGTCCAGGCTGGTCTTAAACTAGCCTCAAGTGATCCTCCCACCCCAGCCTCCCAAAGTGCTGAGATTAGAGGCATGAGCCACCACGCCCGGCAAGCAGGACAGTTCTGAAAACTCTGGACCCAAGTTCCTAAAGCTGATGCAGAGGTCCCCCACTCCCACCCTGGGTGATTCAGCTCTACAGAGGAATTGATCATCATTTAATCAGAAAATTACATTATTCAGAGCATCTCATCCCACTGGCAAAAACACAGAGTTGATTGCCAGCGGCTTGTAAAAAGCATTTGGTTATTCTTACTCTGAGCTGTATCTCTAGAGTGACTGTCAAACCTTGCTGTGCATGTGAATCCTGTGGAGGAACTTTTGGGGGTAAACCATGCTGGGACCCCGTCCATGAACCTCTGGGGGTGTGGCCCAGGCTCATCACCCATTAGACCCCAGATTTTGCCCAGTTAGCATCTATGCAAGTTCAATTATCTTTTCTTTCTGAGACAGAGTCTTGCTCTGTCACCCAGGCTGGAGTGCAATGGCACGATCTCGGCTCACTGCAACCTCTGCCTCCCAAGTTCAAGTAATTCTCTTGCCTCAGCCTCCTAAGTAGCTGGGACTACAGGCACCCACCACCACGCCCAGCTAATTTTTGTATTTTTAGTAGAGATGGGGTTTCACCATGTTGGTCAAGCTGGTCTTGAACTTCTGACCTTGTGATCCGCCCACCTCAGCTTCCCAACATTCTGCTGGGATTACAGGCGTAAGCCACGGCACCCATCCAATTATCTGTTTTTATTTTTACTTTTTTTTTTTTTTTTTTGAGACAGATTCTCACTCTGTCTCCCAGGCTGGAGTGCAGTGGTATGATCTCAGCTCACTGCAACCTCTGCCTCCCTGGTTCAAGCAATTCTCCTGCCTCAGTCTCCTGAGTAGCAGCAACTACAGGTGCACACAGCCATGCCCGGCTAATTTTTGTATTTTTAGCAGAGAAGGGGCTTCACTGTGTTGGCCAAGCTGATCTTGAACTCACAACCTTAGGTGATCTACCCACCTCGGCCTCCCAAAAAGTGCTGGGATTACAGGCATGAGTCACCGCGCCCGGCCTAATTCTCTATTTAATCAGCAACCTTTTACAAATGAGGTTGCCTCTTTTGTCTTAAATCAGGGAACACAAAGTGACTTTAGAAAAAAAAAAATGGGCAGAATTTGTTCAGTATTTGACACATATTTTCCCACTTATTACAACAGCCCTGTTCCTACTAGCGAAGCTGACTGTAGTATTCTGGATATACAGATAAATTGCCCATAATTGAACACATCTAGCAAATGGCAAACTGGTTTTTGAGTCCCTATTCATCCCCATTCTGAAGCCTGTGGTTTCTAGACTGGATGCCCCTGCACATTGTCCCGGCTGCAAGGGCCTTCCCTGTAGTACCATCTCACCTCATAAATTTGAGTGTTCTTAGAGTAGTTCAGAGGGAGTGAGCTGTCAACCGGGTGAAGCAAATCCTAGCAGGCTACCTGTCCAGAAGCCCGGGATGGCAGATCCAGGGGAAATAAAGTCATTAAATAAGCTAACGGGTAATTTGGTAATTTTAGAAAATTAGGGTGTTGGTTCATTGGATCAGAATTCCTTAGAATTTTTAGTCTTATATTACCATGTCCTTGAGGGATGCACCATTTCTTGTCATGGTATCTGACCCATTTCCCCTGCACTCCACTTCCCAAATGCCTGAAATGTGGTGAGGAAATTAGTGAATTTATAGTTTGTTGGACATCACCAGATTTATTAAGAGAAGGGGAAGGGCATGGTGGCTCACACCTGTAATCCCAGCACTTTAAGATGCCGAGGAGGCAGATCACTTGAGGTCAGGAGTTCAAGACTAGTCTGGCCAAAATAGTGAAATTCCATCTTTACTAAAAATACAAAAATTAGCCGGGCATGGTGGCAAGCACCTGTAATCCCAGCTACTTGGGAGGCTGAGGCATGAGAATCACTTGAATCTGGGAGGCAGAGGTTGCAGTGAACCGGGATTGTGCCATTGTACTGCAGCCTGGGAGACAGTGAGATACCATCTCAAAAAAAAAAAAAAAAGAGAAGGAAAACTGTCTCTGTCCAAATGAAAGGTTATTGCTTGAGCTTTCCATGGGCTCAGTCTCATAAACTGATGAAAATTTTTTTTTTTTTTGAGACGGAGTCTCACTCTGTCACGAAGGCTGGAGTGCAGTGGCATGATCTCGGCTCACTGCAAGCTCCGCCTCCTGGGTTCACGCCATTCTTCTACCTCAGCCTCCTGAGTAGCTGGGACTACAGGCGCCCACCACCACGCCCAGATAATTTTTGTATTTTTAGTACAGACAGGGTTTCACCGTGTTAGCCAGGATGGCCTCATGATATGCCCACCTCAGCCTCCCAAAGTGCTGGGATTACAGGCATGAGCCACCGTGCCCGGCCTAACTGATGAAAACTTAACCAATGAGTAGATTTCATTCTCATTTCCTAACCCTATTGGCAAATCCAGGTGGAAAACTACATGGTGAGCATGGAGCCAAGATGACTTCATGGCTAATGTTTATGCCTGGGGCAGGAATCTCCCCTCAGACAGCATGAATTCCAGGCTGAGAGCTGCTGGTCTGGGCAGCCTGTCCCTAAACAATCCCATTTCTTACTGATGGCTGCACCAACGGGTGGCTTAAGTATTCAATCTTAATTAAGTGTGTTTGTTACAACAATGCTACACCAATGTTACACGAACTTTAAGACAAAGCCCAGGCTCCCCCATTCCAACCAGATTGCTCTCCCTAAGTCCCTATTATAAAAATTCTGAATCCTTCACATGGATTTTCCTTCATCCAATATTTATTGAGTGGCTACTAAGAGCCAGGGGCCAGGGATACAGCAGCGAAAAGAAAAAATAGACGAAAACAGCTGTCCTTCTGGAGCTTACATTCAAGTAGGAAAAAATGGATTATAAATAGATTAGATGGGAAGGAGGGGGAATGCTGAGAAAGGGAGTAAGTGTGGCAAATTTATTTTATTTTTAGATGGAGTCTTGCTCTTGTCACACAGGCTGGAGTGCAGTGGCGTGATCTTGGCTCACTGCAACCTCCGCCTCCCGGGTTCAAATAGTTCTCCTGCCTCAGCCTCCTGAGTAGCTAGGATTACAGGCGCCCACCACCATGCCCGGCTAATATTTTTGTAATTTTAGTACAGACGGGGTTTCACCATGTTGACCAGGCTGGTCTCGAACTCCTGACCTTAGGTGATCCAGCCACCTCTGCCTCCCAAAGTGCTGGGATTATAGGCATGAGCCACCGCGCCTGGCCTAAGTGTGGCAATTTTAAATAAAATCAAAGAAGGCATGGTTGAGAAAATGACATTTTAGCTAAGAACTGAAGCAATGAGGAAGCGAGCCACATCGCTATCTGCGGGAGAGCATTTCAGATGAAGGAGCACAAGCAAAAGGCTTGAGATGAGATGCTGTGGTCAACACACGGGACAATGCTGTGGTCAGCACATGGAACCAGGTGAACAAGGAAGAGAGTAGTAGGAAATGAGGTGGCAGACTGAATGTATTCTGCAGATGGAGAGAAATTAGAGGGCTTGGAGGGGAAGTTGATCTTCTCAGAGAAAAATGTTAAGAGGGGTAGAAGACATAGATATTGGTGATTTCGGTACAGAATATGTAGGTGAACATTAACTACATGATACCTGCCCCTTAGGTCTGGCTGGAATGGCCAAGTCAAAAGGAAAGAGAAAGAAAAGATAGAAGCTTATCTGTAGGAAGCACTTGAAGGATTTCAGGAAACAATTTGTTTCAGATAAAAATAAACAGTATTGTTGAGTGGTGCGTTTTAAGGGATATTATTAATTTCACCTACAGCGCCCTTACTGAGTTGAAGGTGGTGATTAAGTATTTGAGAGGATTAGTTTTTGGGGGTAACTACACATGGTAAATTTGAGGTGTTTGACAGAAATGCTAATTAAGCAGTTATTGGAGGTATTAGAAGAGATTCATCTTTAGGTAGAGAGATGGATTGGATGAGATTCTTTACAAATGTAAAAAATCTGACAATTTTTTTTTCTTTTCTTTTTTTTTTTCTAGACGGAGTCTCACTCTGTCGCCAGGCTGGAGTGCAGTGGCGCCATCTCGGCTTACTGCAGTCTCTGCCTCCCGGGTTCAAGCAATTGTCCTGCCTTAGCCTCCCAAGTAGCTGGGATTACAATAAGGATTCAGTATTTGTTAGGACGTGTTAAGTATGGAGGAACTGAGTTAAGTGACAATCCAGGCAGAAGGGTTTTAAATGTTTTCATTACTTCATACATTTAAGAGCTTGAGATTTTTTCTATGTAATTCCTAAGCTTTTAATTTTATTTTACAATGATTGTTGGCATGTGTAGTTTCTGACGTCAGCATCTTGCCCAGCTTACCAAGACTGGCTACTATCTTTCTTGAATCTTTTTTTGCATCATGTGAGCTGTCTATAGCTTCTAACTCACTGATGCCATTGCACTGTGGCGAAACATTTGGATTTAGCATCAAGCACATGGGGAATGGCACATTTTCCTCCATTCTCTTGGCTTTGAGGAGACTGTCTTCCTTCACGGATCATGAAGTCAGGAGTTCAAGACCAGCCTGGCCAACATGGTGAAACCCTGTCTCTACTAAAAATACAAAAAATTAGCCGGGCATGGTGGCAGTCACCCGTAATTCCAGCTATTTGGGAGGCTGAAGCAGGGGAATTGCTTGAACCCGGGAGGCACAGGTTGCAGTGAGCCAAGACAGTGCCACTGCACTCCAGCCTGGGCAACAGAGCGAGACTCCATCTCGATGACGACAACAACAACAACAACAACAACAACAAAATCTCTAAATAGGCCAGACGCGGTGGCTCACACTTGTAATCACAGTACTTTGAGAGGCTGAGGCAGGCAGATCATGATGTCAGGAGTTTGAGACCAGCTTGGCCAACACAGTGAAACCCCAACTCTACTAAAAATAACAAAAAATAGCTGGGCGTGGTGGCAGGTGCCTGTAGTCCCAGCTACTCGGGAGGCTGAGGCAGGAAAATCTCTTGAACCTGGGAGGCGGAGGTTGCAGTGAGCTGAGATGGCGCCATTGCACTCCAGCCTGGGTGAATGCCAGACTCCATCTCAAAACAACAAAAAACCCTCTAAATTTGGTTTTCACTATTGACCCTGAGCCAGCCAGGTCGCTGCGAGCTGCTGCTGTTGATCGCTGAGGGTCACTCAACCTCAATGCCAGCGTATCAGATGGTTTTGTCAGGTTTTCTGAACTTAAAAAAGCACTCGCCATGGCGACTTGAGTAAAAAATAATTACCTATGATGTCTATAGGCTTGTACCCTTCAGTTTAAGTACAGAAAAGACTGAAACAAATTAAGGATCTAATGTTTAAAATGCAGGTTACTATCCAGATTCCCATCTGAAAACTGGTCAGGGTCAGTAATTCTACCTATGGCTAGGAGGATTCTTCTGAGTATTAGGTAGGCGAACGTACCTCAAATGCTTAGCACATTGCCCAGCACGTAAAGCGCTTAGCCAATGTTAGCAGCTGTATGATAATCCCTTCTAAGAAACATAGTCCCACTCTACAAATGAGGAAACACTGAGAAGTGACATTCTAACCTAAAGTCACCAACGTTCACTCCAGTGGATACTGAGGCTTCTCCTGTAACACTCTACAAAATGTTGTGATCAAGAAATGAAGTAGACCTCCCTCACACCAACGTACACACCCAACCTGCTCCCACAACTGTCGGACTGGAAATGGCAGAAAAGGTAAGAAATCCAGAGAAGTCCCTACAGTGCCAGTTCCCCAAAGGACCAGAGACCACGGTACCTTGGTTGCCCATGGCACTGGGAAGTGTGAGCCATCTCATGGCCTGACTGTACCGAGCATAGAGAGTGCTGAATTTACCAGACATCTAGACCATTTGGATTTTTCACCACTGATTTATATAAAGGAATGTGGGAAGCTTTTTTGAAAGAACAGCATTTACCTTGAAGGGCTTTCCTAAAAGAGATGCCTTTTTAAAACAATGCCATAGGATTAGTGGTTAAGTCTCTAACACATGAACAGCATATGCTGCCCAGCTACTGAGGTGAAGAGTCTAAGCTAGATTTATTTCTGAGGAACAAAGACCAAAAGACTGCCTTTAGAGCTCTATACCTAGTCAGTCACCTTGGGCTGAACTACAGAAAGAACTGGACAACTAACACCTAAAACGCTGAAAACAAAGACACATACAATTCCAGGTGTGGATTTTTATTTTCACAAAAAGACAACAATGTCTTCCCACATACAAGTATTTACAAAACCCAACTGATTCACCCATCTAGAACCTGGGTTTTTTTCCACTTCTCAACATAGTTGGGAACATGGAAACATTAATACCCACACAATTCCCAAAGATGGAATTTATCCATCAAACAGTGCAGATTACCTAAAAGTGCACTTACCTGCACAACTCGGTCTAAGAACCTTGTGAAACAAACCTCATGGCCAAGGTTTCATGAATCTATTTGGTTTCATACCATGCAAACCTGAACAAGTGTGCTGCTACACTAAACTGAAAATCGGTTCTCATTTTACAATTAAAAAGGTTCTCAACACTTTAGCAACTATACAGAATATGAAGGTTTATTTCAAAAAAGATTACATTTTTTTTAAACCAGGATACACAGATGCACTTAATGTAACAGTACCTTCTGCAAAAATAGGTTACATAATACTCAGAAATGCAATGAACAATCTTATTCTCTAAAAATTAGACAGCTAAGACTTCTTAAGCATAGACAGCCTTCAAAATGGAGGCTGAAAATGCCTGGTGAAAAGAAGTAACTCTAGAGCCAGACACCACAGAGCTAAGGCTGCAAATTAAACCACTACCACACAGCTGCAGACTACTCTTTATATTCACACAGCGTTAAACAAAACGACTTCAATTCCATCTTTTCAAATGTGTCTCGGTGCTGCAAGAAAAAAAGTTGAATGATACACAAAACTATTAAAAGTTACAACAGAACTATTTAAACATCTTCTCCAAAATTGAGAAAAGCAATCATGTTAAATTTTTAAAAAGAAAAGTCTGACAGAACTCTCAAGCAAGTCAGAGGTCCTTTTCATAAGTAGTCAAGTAAAGTTTACAGGAGATTTCAATAAATTATCATAAAACCATGGCAGAGAGCTCATTTTCAGAATCGTCGTGGAGGTCCACCCTTAAATGGCTTAAATCCGGAGCCACTTCCTCTTGGCATGGAATTGCCACTGATTTGTACAATTCTATTAATTGGGGATGCGTTACTGAAAAAGGTTTAAAAGAAAAAAAGTCAGAGAACAAAGAACAAATCATCACTGCAAATACTTACGCAGCACTTAACATTTGCCAGGCACTGTTCTTGGTACTTTATCCAAAATAAATAATTTACTCTTTGCAACAGTCCCCTGAGGTCTGAACCATTACTAACCCCACTTTACTGATGAAGAAAGAGATCTGGAGGTTGAGGAACTCGTCCAAGGTCACAGAGCCAATGGTGGAGCAGAGATCTGAACTTGGGCAATCTCACTTTGAAGTCCCATTACTTCAGAAGCCAGCTGCAGATCTGCATGTGGATGGACTACAGCAGCAGATCTCTTAAGTGTGGACCCCAAACCAGTAGCAGTAGCACCAGCTGGGGGCCTGTTAGAAATGCAAATTCTTACCCCCATCTCAGACCACTGAGAAAGAAACTCTGGGGGTGGGACTCCCAGCAACCTGTTTTTCTTTGTTCTTTTAAATATATATATTTTTAGACAGCGTCTCACTCACTTCACCCAGGCTGGAGTGCAGTGGCACAATCATGGCTCACTGTAGCCGCCTTGACTTCCTGGACTCAGGTGATTCTCACACTTCAGCCAGCCACCAGAGTAGCTGGGACTACAGGCAAGTGCCACCATGCTCAGCTAATTTTTTAATTTTTAGTAGAGACAGGGTTGCACCATGTTGGCCAGGCTGATCTCGAACTCCTGGGCTCAAAAGATCTGCCAGCCTTGGCCTCCCAAAGTACTGGAATTACAGGCAGGAGCCACCATGCCCGGCCAACCTGTGTTTTAACACATCCTCCAGGTGATTCTGTTGTTTGCTAAAGTTTGTGAGCTAAATTATGGGAAGTCATTTAAAAAATATTTCTGGAATCTTTATGTGTAATGCAACAGAGCAGATGTTAGTAACACAAAAAAGCAGACCCTCTCCTCTGACAAAAAACCTTTAACAGGCCGGGCACAGTGGCTCACACCTGTAATCCCAGCACTTTGGGAGGCCGAGGTGGGCGGATCAAGGAGAACTGCTTGAACCCGGAGGCAGAGGTTGCAGTGAGCTGAGATCGTGCCACTGTACCCCAGCCTGGGTGACAGAGTGAGACTCCATCTCAAAAAAGAAAAAACTTTAACAAACCAGGAGATAAAAATTTACAGTGAAGGCCGGGTGCAGTGGTTCATGCCTATAATACCAGCACTTTGGGAGGCTGAGGCTGGAGGATCACCTGAGGAACAGGAGTTTGAGACCAGCCTGGCCAAGAAAGTGAAACCTCCATCTCTATTAAAAATACAAAAAATTAGCCGAACGTGATGGCACACACCTGTCCTAGCTACTTGGGAGGCCGAAAGAGAATCACTTGAACCCAGGAGGCAGAGGTTGCAGTGAGCTGAGATAGCGCCACTGCACTCCAGCTTGGGGGACAGCGACTTCGTCTTGGAAAAAAAAAATTGTCTACAGTGAAATGGTTCAGGCAGAATAAAACTAGATTATAAAAAGGCTTAAATGCCAGACTAAGGAATCTGGGCTCGATCCTGTGACTTGGAGCAGCTGCTTGTTATAGTTTTAGAGCAATAAATGGTGTAACAAAATGGGAGTTTAAACAGTTCAATTTACAAATAGGGTAATGGAACACAAAAATAATAATTTGGGAAGATCAGATAGAAGCTAAAATGAGGAATAAGGGATAGTTATGATAAACTTTTTTTTTGTAGAGACAGAGTTTTGCTGTGTTGCCCAGGCTGGTCTTGAACTCCTCAGTTCAAGCGATCCACCTACCTTGGCCTCCCAAAGTACTGGGATTACAGGCATGAGCCACTGTGCCCAGCCTGAGAAACATTTTTTTAAAAAATGGAGCCACACAGCTGGGTACAGTGGCTCATGCCTATAATCCCAGCACTTTAGCAGGCCGAGGTGGGCAGATCACAAGGTCAGGAGTTCGAGACCAGCCTGGCCAACATGGTGAAACCCTGTCTCTGCTAAAAATACAAAAATTAGCTGGGCATGGTGGTGCACGCCTGTATTCCCAGCTACTCGCTTGAACCTGGGAGGCAGAGGTTGCAGTGAGCCGAGACTGTGCCACTACACTCCAGCCTGGACAGACCAAGACCCCGTCTCAAAAAAAAAAAAAAAAAGAACCACACTTAGAAATTTATGGTAGGAATGAAGAAAGGTAAGGACAAGTCCCGTTTTTCCAGTCAGGGTGAGTGAAATGGATGGTGGCATTATCAAATTAAAAGAAGCTGCAGGCAACAAAAGGGACACAAAGGTTTGAAACAGGAGAAGAATGAGTTTGACTGTGACCTTGAATTCATGGATGCAGCAAAGCACTTACATGGCAGTGGCAACATGAAGCTGAAAGGAAACAGCAGTGTCTAAAGCTTAGCCATGGGAAGGAGCCTGCAAAGGCAGTCACAAGGGCAGAAAGAAAGTGATGGTGCCCTAGAAAACAGACTCCCTCAAAATAAAGATAAATGACCATGTGAAACAGTGTTTAACCACCAAGGAGTCGAAAACCATGAAAATAAAAGAATCTATATTTATCAGGAGAAAAGTCATCAGTGACCTTTACAAACCGGATACAATGAATGTTGAGCTTGTGCAGGCAGAAGTAGCACACTTACTGAAGTTTGATGGTAGAAGTGACCATGGAATAATAGTGACCTGGGTCACTGAGTCAAGTCAGTATCTCTCCTAAGAGGAATGGGAAAGAAAGGAGGACGTGAAAGAGATGGGGAAGCTGAAGACCTGCTGGCTGAAGGGCCACATCCGACCTCGTTGTGAAGAGAAAGTAAAGCTCGCCTCTTAACGTATGAATAGATTTTGTGTTATATGTCTAAAAGCTCTGCCAGGAGTTATTTTAAATAACAGGGAGGAAACAGAACACACTTTCAGTTTTTTCTTCCTAAGAATTTGAGGAATGCTAGGTAGGGAACAAGATGATGGTTCCAATGTGAGGTTAAGACTCATTATCTAGACTGGTTGCAGTGGCTCCCGCCTGTAACCTCAGCACTTGGGGAGGCTGAGGCAGGCGGATCACCTGAGGTCTGGAGTTCGAGACCTGCCTGGGCAACATGGTGAAACCCCGTCTCTACTAAAAATACAAAAATTAGCTGGGATTGGTAGCGCATGCCTGTAGTCCCAGCTACTTGAGAGGCTGACATGAGAGAACTGCTTGAACCCAGGAGGCGGAGGTTGCAGTAAGCCGAGATCTCGCCACTGCACTCCAGCCTGGACGACAGAGTGAGACTCCATCTCAAAAAACAAAAAACAAAACAAAAGGATTCATTATCTACTGGATCCTACCATACATACATACCCATATCTAGATCAACTTGCCAGAACGTGACTGAATTCATTTACAAGGAAAAATACAAAGTAACACATTAATATCAGCTGTTCTGCACACAGTCTTTTGGAGACTCTGAGTTGATACAGGGAAATGTTCAGGCCGACCTAGGGTTTTCACTAGTTGCAGTTCAGTCTCTCAGAAACTATAATGACTTTTATGGAAAGGATCAAATGTTGGTTGTGTGCTGGCAGAAAAAGTCTAAACTGGTTAGTAGTTATTTACCTTGAATGTTGGGTTATCATGCCTGCTCCTGCCCGGCCATCACCCATTCGCCTCGTATCATGATAGCTAGGCCCTTGAGAGGGTGGACCATGCCACTCTTTCCTTGGTCCGCTTGTGTCCCGTCCATGGCGTTCAACCACATGTCGCTCCTCAGGATAGTGCTAAAAGAATAGCATATGAAAAGTCACTTGGGCGGGCGCAGTGGCTCATACCTGTAATCCCAGCACTTTGGGAGGCTGAGGCAGGAGGATCATCTGAGGTCAGGAGTTCGAGACCAGCCCGGCTAACATGGTGCAACCCCATTTCTACTAAAAATACGAAAAATTAGCCAGGCATGGTGGCCCACACCTATAATCCCAGCTAGTCAGGAGGCTGGGGCAGGAGAATCACTTGCACACTCCAGGAGGTGGAGGTTGCAGTGACCTGAGATCACGCCATTGCACTCCAGCTTGGGCAACGATAGTGAAACCCCATGTCAAAAAAAAAAAAAAAAAAAAAAAAATCACGACACCCTCAGTCTCGGTCTCATACCAACTTATATTTTTAATGTCAGAAGCAAATTAATAAGATGTCTGAGAAGATAAAAGGATGAGTTGGCCGGGCGCGGTGGCTCAAGCCTGTAATCCCAGCACTTTGGGAGGCCGAGACGGGCGGATCACGAGGTCAGGAGATCGAGAGATGATCCCGGCTAACACGGTGAAACCCCGTCTCTACTAAAAAATACAAAAAAAATAGCCGGGCGAGGTGGCGGGCGCCTGTAGTCCCAGCTACTCGGCAGGCTGAGGCAGGAGAATGGCGTAAACCCGGGAGGCGGAGCTTGCAGTGAGCTGAGATCCGGCCACTGCACTCCAGCCTGGGTGACAGAGCAAGACTCCGTCTCAAAAAAAAAAAAAAAAAAAGGATGAGTAGTGCAACAGCATATGGAAAGAGTTTGTATCTATTTTGTAGTCAGGGAAGGGTATGGAGGAAATGATTCAATACTTTTTGTTGTTGTTGTTTTGTTTTTTGAGATGGAGTCTCGCTCTGCTGTCAGACTGGAATGCAGTGGTACGATCTTGGCTCACTGCAACCTCCACCTCCTGGGTTGGAGCAATTCTCCTTCTCAGCCTCCCAAGTAGCTGCAACTACAGGCATGTGCCACCGTGCCCAGCTAATTTTTGTATTTTTAGTGGACACGGGGTTTCACCATGTTGGCCAGGATGGTCTTGATCTCTTGACTTCGTGATCCGCCCACCTCGGCCTCCCAAAGTGCTGGGATTACAGGTGTGAGCCACCGTACCCAGCCAATTCCTGTTTTTAAAAATAATTTTTGGAGACATGATCAAGTGCTGCCTAGGTTGGAGCAGTTGCTGGTACTGAGGTCTGGAGCAACACTGTTGCTACCATAACTCACTGCAACTGTGAACTCCTAGGCTCCAGCAATTCTCCTGCCTCAGCCTCCTGCCTAGCTGGGACTACAGGGTGCACACCACCATGCCCAGCTAATTTTTTAATTTTCCTATGGAGATGGGGTCTCACTATATTGTCCAAGCTGGTCTCGAACCTCTGGCCTCAAGTAATCCTCCTGCCTTGGCCTCCAAAAGTGCTGGGATTACAGCCATGAGCCACCAGGCCTGGACATTAATTTCTATTTCTATATTTTCTAGCACCCAAGGGTTTTTTGACCCTTGATTATTTCAAATACTTGGATCTTACATTGACTGTAAGAACGCACAGACAGAGATCAAAACCTTAAGACAAGCCACGGCGGGGCCTATGATCCGCCTATCAGGACAACATGCAAACAGCACAGAAAACAGGAGTCGTCAACTTATTTTACATCGTACTAGTTAGTGCTATGGCACTTACAAGGTGCTACATCTGTAACTACGGAAAACAGAGTAGCAAACACAAAGAAAGAAACTGTAGAACTAGGGATCTAAGGAAAGAGAAAGCAAGCATTGTGATACTTAGCTTACAGGAAAGAAAGCAGAAGGTACCCACAGAGAGGCTGAGATATAATAGTGGCAGAACAATTTACAGACTAACACTATGAAAAAGAAAATTTTCAAGGGAGTATACAAGATCTCCTCCTCAGGACACATTTTCTAAAAGGACATCTGAATGCAGAGGGCTGGTCTTTGAGACTTTCTTAAATTTTACTGTAAACAAGGCAGACTTATCTGGATTATAGACTCAGTCTGAAAAATTCTGTTTAGGGGGTGGGCGTGATGGTTCATGCCTGTCATTCCAGCACTTTGGGAGGCAGAGGAGGGTGAATCACCTGAGGTCGGAAGTTTGTAACCAGCCTGGCCAACATGGTGAAACCCCACCTCTACTAAAAATACAAAAATTAGCCAGGGGTGGTGGTGCACATCTGTAGTCCCAGCTACTCGGGAGGCTGAGGAAAAAGAATTGCTTGAACCTGGGAAGCAGAGGTTGCAGTGAGCCGAGATCATGCCACTGCATGTCAGCCTGGGTGACAGAGTGAGACTCCATCTCAAAAACAAATAAACAAACACACTAATATGTATTAAAATACAAAACAAACACCTACATATAATGGAGACACACACACTGCACAATTCTTTTTGGTATATAATTTATGAAAGTATGTCCTAACTGTGCTACTATCAACCCATATGCCAGTATTTCATCAGTAGAATACTTTTAAATGAGGCAAAAGGTTTTTGTTCATTTCAGTCTCTAACAGATGAAGATACTTTCCTCTGTCCAGCTCATTAACTTACAAAATATTCAAGTCAATATAAGTGTCACAAGAATAAAAATTTAAAAATATGTAACGTTACACTCATCTATCTTTAGGATAAGAAGACAAAAAACAGACAAAGCTCTATTTCAATTTTACACTTTAAGCTACTTAAATGAAGCAGGAGAAAAAGATGTATGTGTGTATACATATATATATAAATATATACATACACACACACACACACACACACACACACACATATATATATATTTTTTTCCCCCCCAGACAGGGTCTGGCTCTGTAGCCCAGGCTAGAGTGCAGTGGCGCCATCTTGGCTCACTGCAACCTCCAACTCTTGGGCTCCAGCGATTCTCCTGCCTCAGCCTCCAGAGTAGCTGGGATTACAGGCGCACACCACCACACCCAGCTAATTTTTGTATTTTTAGTAGAGATGGGGTTTCACCATGTTGCCCAGGCTGGTCTCAAACTCCTGAGCTCAGGCAATCTGCCCACCTTGGCCTCCAAAAGTGTTGGGATCACAGGCATGAGCCACCATGCCTGGTCAAGAATATTTTATTAAGAAGGAAAAAGTGAAAAGGAAACACAAATAGAGGTCACAGATTTCAGATCCAGTTTGAAAGCCTCAATTTCTTAAAAAGAAATAAAACCAAAGTTATAATTAGACAGGCTCATTTATCAAATTAACAATTCTTAAATTTCACTAGGAAGTTTAATCAAAATGCAGTATTTCAAGGCTAGTACCTTAACTCTTTGGACTACTGATGGTCAACTCTGACAGTAAAGTATGAGAAAAATTCAGATTAATTTTAAAAATTAAAATTAAAAATTAATGCCTCTCAATCATTCCAATCTAGCTAGGCCATATCAAAATGTTACTGTATATCCAGAGTAGCTCATGAATCCTCTAAATGTATGTGTGCAGGCTGGAGGCAGGCCTCCCGCAGCATTTACCTGTGATCCACCTCGGTCTGTGATGACCCCTCTGTCTCCCTCTCTGCTCCCGTACCCCGAAGCGCTGCTACGATTCCCAGGGGGAGCACCTCTCACGCTGTGCCCTGATACTTCTCTCCCAGATCGTTCCGGCCTTTCGACTCTGTTAAACAAAACATAAAAACATACATGATCAAAACTGTAATTTGTTTAGCCCCAAGGCATGAGACCACTAGGAAAGCATTATGAAGTACACAGCTACCTTGTTTCCCGTTTGTCAGTGGACATACTTCCTTCACTTTTCCAGCTGGTGGGTCTGGAAGGATTGGGCCCTGCCTCTCGAGGATGTCTAGGATGAGTGATATCAGGCCTGTCATGAATAATCACCGTTCTCCTTTCATCTCGCTCCCCTCGAACTTCTCGCCTGTCTGATTCTCTAAGTTCGTTTCTTGGTGGAGGCTCATTTCTTCTGGAGTCACTGAAATTTTTGGGATATCTTTCGAAGCTTGGATCTTCCCTTCGTGCAGTAGGTCGTGCTTTTTTCCCCTCACTTTGACCAACAAAGCGATCCCGCCTATTGATTAGAAACAAAGAATATAGGTCCAAGAAGTGCTTACTTGAGTGCTTAATTCTTCTTAACTTTGTCTGCATAACCTATAATGATGAAACCAAAAAATGAACTTAAGGCAAAGCTATGGAAAAAAGCTAGTCATTGATTATTACAACTCATTTTCTTTCAAACTGAACTAAGTGTCTAGCCTAAGGTTGGTTTTCTTAGTGTTCAGGAGAAATGATACCAAACACTCAAAGTCGCTACCAAGCTGAAGAATGTTTTACTGTTCTTAACAGTTGAGGCACATCCAAAGCGATCAGTGCTCCCACAGTTTTAAAGATAAGAAGAGGCCGGGCGCGGTGGCTCATGCCTGTAATCTCAGCACTTTGGAAGGCTGAGGTGGGTGGATCACTTGAGGCCAGAAGTGCTAGACCAGCCTGGCCAACATGGCAAAACCCCATCTCTACTAAAAATACAAAAATTAGCCGGGCATGGTGGTGGTGCATGTCTATAATCTCAGCTACTTGGGAGGCTGAGGCACAAGAATCATTTGAACCCAGGAGGCAGAGGTTACAGTACGCCAAGATTGCACCACTGTGTTCTAGCCTGGGAGACAGGTGGGACCCTGTCTCAAAAAAAAATAAAAATAAAATAAAGATAAGAAGATAAAGCCAACCTACTTAATGGTGTTCTAGTTAATTAGTTTGGAATACTGAATCACATTCCCATTAACAGAAACAAAAACCATATAATTTGTTCTGAGCATTCAGTTCTGACCTGGTACTTCTTAATGAAGATTTTAGGAGAAACAGAGTTATCACTAGCAAGGCTCATAAAATAAATGTAACAATTTTCAACATATCTACCTTTCAAAAGATGAAGACTGTACTGCTGAACTCTCAGGAAACCTGCCCCTCTCTCGGTGATCAAAGTCATTAAATCTGTTCTGTTGGCGAGAGTAGTCAGATCCATGGCCAAATCGTGCATCTGTATCTAGAGACAACTTTTTATTCTCGCTCCAGTAAGGATCATCTCGCCTTGAAGAGAAATATTTGCTCATTTACATAAATTAGTTCTACAGTAATCAAACGACATTTACTTGGAGTCATACATACCACATGTTAGAACTGTGGACACAACAGGGCTAATAAACTCAAGACATAACACACTCAGGAGTACAAACTAGCAAAGACTTAATTGTTGAATTACGTAAAGTCAAACAGTGTGAGAGGAATTTAACGGGAGAGAAAAATAGTTGAAAAACTGCATGTCTTACAATTATTAAATGGAAAAGACAAATAAAATACTTGAAACCACTTTATAATAAAATTCTAACCAGCAGTTCACAACCTCTTCAGTTATCCTTAACTTTGGAAACATTAGAGTGGCAAGTCAGAAGCACAGTTCATTCATTCCACCTATTTCTCTACACAATCAACTCATTTTAATAGAATTTATGTTAAGAAAATTAAATGGGCATACTTATATTTTTAAATCTATATGAAGTATGAATCCAAGCACACAACAGAATGTATCTTTCAATCTCAAGTTTATGACTTCCATTTCTATACTATCTGCACTACCTTTTTAAGAATGTTCAAAATCTGTTTAATTATTATTGAAGCCTATTACGACAATGTATTTCCAGTCATAACGAAAAACGTTTGGCATCAGAAAGGTAGACAGGGAAAGAAATGCAGACTGTTCCCACTTGCCAGTGCACTGGGTCTACCCCAGTACTGTAATCCTTCCCATCCCTGTTGATTGTGACTTTTATTTCAGTGATAGGAGTTTATACTTTCTAATTCTCTAGTCTTAGCCTAAAGGGAATAAAACAGCAAGTGTAACTGTTAAGGAATAAAGTGAGTAACTACCTATGATCTACATCACGTGGGCGTTTCAAGGAATTCCTTTTTTCTTGTTCATAACGAAGTTGCTGTTGTTGCCTTCTGAGTTCCTCTCTTTCTCGAGCAATCCGTTCAGCTTCCTTACGACGTTCCTTCAGACAACACAGAAGGAAGAACCAACCAAGGCAAAATGAAAACATAAGATAAGTATACATGCAACCTTGTTTTAATCCTGTCGCTAAGAAACCATCATAAGCAAAGACCAGGCAAAACACAAACCTATGACACCTAAATTTGATTTCAATAATCTAGGCTATAGCTATCGTTCTGCAACATTAAAAATAACAAGGACTGGGTGGTGAAAGTTGGCAAGTAATTGGGAAGGTCAAGTTTAGTTTAATCATTCGACTAAAATAAAAGCACCTAAAGGGAATTAGAAATAGCGTTCTTAATATGTATGGAGACTAAGTGCCTTAAAACCCTGAGGTGCAATTCTGCAAAGAGAGGCATTATTTCCTTCCAGCCTTGGGAAATCATTCCCACTATAATATGTAAGGAAATCATTATTATTTTCTAAGACTGGGATAGTGACAGAGCCTGGATTACAACTACTCTGGACTCATAGTCCTATGCTCAGACTATTAGGCTGCCATGATATTGCAGAGCTAGAATTATTACCAGTTATCTAGAACAAAGTCACTACTAATTGTATTTTTAACTAGTACCTAATTCACTGTTATCTTTCAGGGACACTTAAAAGCTCATTAGCTAAACTCATTCTATAGACGCTTTACAACAAGTAAAGCAAATTTTAGGGCTAAAATCACAGAGTTTGAAATAGGTGAGTTATTTAAGATGAAAAGATTTTCTGACTGCACCTGTTCAATACGAATGCGTTCCCTTTCCAAGCGTTCGCGTTCCATTCTCTCTCTCTCTAGTTTTTGCCTTTCAATTTCTAGGCGCTCTCTCTCTCTCTGTAAGCGTTCCCGTTCTTCCCGTTCACGAATTATTCTAATGCGTTCTCGCTCTCGACGCTCTCTCTCTGCAATCTCTCTTCGTCTACCAAAAATCAGTATTTAGAAATACTTAAATTATGCTAGCACTGTGTGAAAGAGAATAGCTTTGAATTTGAATTTTTCCTTGAGGTTGGCAATTTAAAATTTCAACTCAATCTAAGTAGTTTTAATGTAATTGGAAAGAGAATTCAAAGTAAAACTTTAAACAGATCCCAATATTTTCACTTATTTATAAATAAGACTGTCAACTGAGCAGCTAAATTTTATAATATAGAGTAGTTGCCTCTTAGATGATTCCTGTTTAAATAAAAATCACTATAATAATAGTCCATTAATTAATTGACATTTTAGAAGGATGTAATCTGCATATATAAATTTACAAAACTACAACTTCCAACACCTGTTTTTGATGGAAAAAGCTCTAATGCCTATTATATATTCTATTGTATCTCCTTAAACAAAGTATATACTTTATTTTGATGATTTGGGATCATAACAATGAACATCAACAATAGCAAATACTACATACAACAAAATGGTGTCTTTAAGGGCTATTTTGGAATGTTTACTATCCTATAATAGATGGCTCCAGGTAATGTGTTTTCTGAGTCAGAGGTAGTTCAACTGTGTGCTGAACTGAATTGTTATTGTATTAGACTTTTAATGTTATTTTCTTACTGTAAGGTAGTCAGTGTCCTTTTCTGTCTATCATTGGCATGTCTTTCTCTAGTAACGCAGTGGTTCTCAATGGGTCAGTACTATTTCTACAGAAATCAATGGGGTATTTTTAATTATCACAATGACCATGGGGCAGATACTAGCATTTAGTGTATGAGGATGAAGGAATCTAAGCATCTTATTGATGCATGGAATAGTGAGGATAGTTGTACACAGTAAGAACCATCCAACACTTCTCATACCTTTCAGATGCCACAATGGACATTCACACCATTAAAAACAACCAAATGCCTTAAGCAAAAATAACGTGAGTCTAGAACTCAACCCCATTTTTAGTCAATACTAAGTTTGTCTGCTTTGATATGATTTATGTATTTTAGAATTTCCAATAATGCAACTCCATATAAATAGAAGGAAAATTATACTTTCTTGAGACTTTTACCAAGAGTTGCTCACCATTTCAGAAATCATGTCATAATGTCAACACTACTTCTGGTATTTACTAACCAATACAACATATCAACTGACATACAATGTCAGTCTGTATTTGGAGCTGTCCCATTCTCAGTGAGTCTAAATAGGGATGCAAACATCTGACTACTTCATTAAGTCATGCCTAAACATTCCTATCTGGAATACATATTTTTATTATAAATTACTTTTATTTCTCCTTTATATTATAGTTAAGCCATTACTTTTATTTTTGGAAATTATTAGTATAGGTTAAGTATGTTACGCATCAGTTTCATTTCAGGAGAGTAAAGGCATTGCAACATTTTTTAATATAAAAGGGATTTTGGTCTCATAGGGTTTGAGAATCACTGGTCTAGTTGCCCCTCAATCCCACTCTCCTCTCAATCTGTTGTCAACTAAATAAACAGGAAGCTAGGCACATTTGGACTTCATCTTAAAAAAAAGAAAATGGGTTCTATGTGCTGTAAGGATTACTTCCTTTTAGTAAAGTTGTGTGTCAATTATTATGCAGAATAACCTAAGTTGCTAAAAGTATCTCTGGTAGTTCCCAACACTCTCATGAATGAATAGATGAAATCCCATGATAAGTAACCCCTGGACAAGATAGGTTAACATTTGAAATAATATACTACAAAACACACCCACAAGACTATTTTAAGTGGCATCCAAAAATTGATATACAAAAGTAAACTGACACTCATGATGAACTGTTGAGATATGGCCACTAAAAATGGAAACATCTTGCTTTGTTTATATTTTCCATTTGTTTTAAAGAGAATGCTTGCTTTGGGATACAATCTGAATACCATTAGGCTCACAGGGCAAATCTTCCTTCTCTTAGGCACTAATACAAACAATAAATTTTGCTAAATGTGTTAAAATGTCAGATTACAGTATTTGAACACTATAGCTACTCTGAAACTATCTTACCTCAAATTTTTCCTTTAAAGTCATGTTTTTTATGGCAGCAGCTTTGGTGTTGAGGAAAGAGCATTGGACTTGGAGTCAGAAGACTTGGGTCAGAGTCCCGACTCTGCCACTTGTTAGCCATGTGGGCATTGGAAGAGTCATTTAGCCTCTCTGGGCCTCCACTTTTTTCAATTGTATAATGGGCATAACTAGCCTTATAGAACTGTTGAGTTGGAGATAACAGATGGAAAGCACTTTGTAAATTTTAAAGTGCTATGCAAACTTAAGAAATCATTAGATGCTACCGTACTTCTTTAAGGTGTTAAACAGTTTTCTGTGGGAATACAATTTCCAGAAATCTGGCTTATAACCAGTGTTAAATATTTACCTATATTTAACGACAGGTATAAAACAGACCCTCTTCCTACCTTCGAAGTTCCATTGCTCGTCGCAGCCTTTCAAAACGAACTAAATGTTCTCTCAACCTTTGTTCCTTCATCTTTTCAAAAGGCAAGATCTCTTTCCTTCTGTAGTCTTTATCTCTTTTTTTATCTAGACTAGCTCTCTCCTTTTCCTTACTTCTCCCATGAATCTATAGAAAAAAATTAGAAGAACACTAGAAATTAAAATATTTTGGGGCTTTATTTTTCAAGTTTAGCAGGTCATTTAAAAAGTTCAAATAACTAGTAACATTTCCTTTTTCTTGGGTTTGCTAGCATGCAAGTATGCAAAGATGGTTACGGAAAAACAGAATTATCTTCTTTTGTAAACAGCTGAAGTAGTATACAGCCATCCTGATCAGAGACTTACTTTCTCATATCTTCCTCTTCTTGATGGTCTACAATGATCTCCTTTAGTTTGGTCTAATATTACCATATGTCCTGGACTCTTTGAACCTAAGGGAAAAAAATTATATAAAATAAATGTCTAAAAATTATCATTGAAAAAGAAAATACGTATGTAAAAATGCTAACTTCTGACAGTCACACACCAATACAAGAAATAAAAAACCTACTTATTCTACAAGAACTTAAATGCAAAGAGTTTTTTAAACAGTTCAGTCTGCTAACATAAATACTTTCAGTGATACCAAAAGATCCTAATTCAATAGTACTAATCAATGACCATTTTAAGTCAGCCCAGAATAGCAAAGGAGGTTAGCTGGAAGAAAACATTTGTTTGTTTCCCCAGAGTAGAAAAGAAGATAATTCCTCCTACTAGACCTCCTTTCCTACCACAATGACACCTAACAACAAAGCTTACACCTCTGGATTATAATTTCAGGTTTTCCCTTCCACTGTAAAAATTAAGCAGTCGAATGCATTAGAAAGGGATTGAAAAGATATATAGCATACTTATTCGCTTCTTTTCTTCACTTTTTTTAATCGATTCTGATGTTTGGCCACTTGCTCCATTATCATTCTTCTCATCTTTACCTTCTATTTTCTTAGTATCCTTGCTTTCTTTTTTTTCAGATTTCTCAGATGATCTTTTCTCTTCTTTTTTGACAGAGGCTTGTGTCCTGACCATACCACCCCAGACAAAAAAACCAGAATGAGTGCTTCATAATGTACCAAAAAAGTCTGTTTATCGAAATAAATAAAAATAATAAATCCTTACTTGCTACTTCTATCACTCATATTTTTTTTATCTCCGGAACTTCTTGAACTACTCTTTTCATCATTTTCTTTCTTCATTTCTTTCTTAGAGGGATCACCTTTTACCTGAAAGGTTTGAACCAGAAAAACAATTTATACATATGGTTACATTTTTGTGATTATAAAAAGTGTGTTAATGGCAGAAAATCTGGAAAAGATAGAAAATTATAAGGAAAGTAAAAACTACAAACACATAAAAATTAAAAATAATTGCAAATTCTACTCCCTGCTACTGTTAACAGCTATGAGTTGAGAACTAGCGATCAAATTCGACTTGCTTGGATAAACAGTTAGGCAAGCTTACTTTTTCAACAGAAATCAGCTGTCCATGCAGCTCAGTGCGATGAAGATGTGCAATACACCTGGACACCTCTGTGCTTGAAGACATAGTTACAATGCCATAGCATTTTGCCCCAGGACTTCGAGCATTTGTAACTACTTTTGCACTCAGAACCTATAAAATGAGACTGTACTTTAGAGAGTTTTACAATGTTCCAACTACACACACTTCTAGTTCCAACTACACACACTTCTAAATACATGAAACTTCAAAACGGAAACTATATATTAATTCGGGGTGTATCTTATTCTGTTTCATATATATATGTATATATTTTTTTGAGACGGAGTCGCACTCTGTCGCCCAGGCTGGAGTGCAGTGGTGTGATCTCGGCTCACTGCAACCTCTGCCTTCTGGGTTCAAGCGATTCTCCTCCCTCAGCCTCTCAAGTAGCTGGGATTACAGGCATGCACCACCACATCCTGCTAATTTTTGTATTTTTAGTACAGACAGGGTTTCGCCACATTGGCCAGCTGGTCTCAAATGCCTGACCTCAGGTGATCGGCCTACCTCGGCCTCCCACAGTGCTGGGATTACAGGCATGAGCCACTGCACCCAGCCTATTTCATATTCTTGTGATCACCATCTACATTACCCATCTTAATAAATATTCAGGGGAACAATTTAAAGTGCCAAAAAGCAATTTAACCTTCTTTTTATATTTATTTCCTCCCCTCAAATATGTAGCCAATGTAGCCAAAACAATCTCATCAGTGAAGTAATGGCACAATTAATAAAAGCAAATAAATTGGATTTGAACCAAAATATCCCTATCATATGCCCACCCTGAATGTCTTTAGAGAAAAAGTTTCCAGTATTTTAATGATGAGTGTTGATACTTTTCTATAATGAGTAAAGAACCAATCACATATAAAAAAGCAGACTTAAAAATGCACCCCCTGAAAAACACGCTAAAGCTTGAAAGACAACATTTTCAATCTATGTGCTTTTCAAATGTATATGAAAATGACAAATAATTTCAATTCTGTAAGATGGGTAGTTAAGAGAGACAAAGCAGGTATGGATGAGTGAGAAGAAAAGTGAGAGAGAACGATTCAGTGCTGAACAGAGTAAAGACATAAAGCTGCGAACAAGGAAACAGGAAAATCAGGAGTTTAATGGTGTGGGTGGCTGGAACCAACCAACTTTTACCTCAACCCTAGGAAAGGCTGATTTGCCCCATAGCCATTTAATTTTTAACTCTGTGGGTCTTCCTACCAAATATATGGTATCCGCATATAGTTTTACTACTAATAAATATCAACATTAAAATATTGTTTTCACATCTCTAACAATATATTATTGAAAACAGAAGAAAAAATAACACAGCCTATCATGGGGCTACAATTCTCAGCATTCTATTTCTGACACCTACAAGAACCTCCTTTACACTCAGGCAACTCACTAATTAAAGCAGGGAAAAAAGCCTCTGAAAATCAAGAGGACAGGTTTTGGTAATATTAACGGCTATTTACCAATAATGGTCACTAATTCACTAATTTCAATATTTGAAAGCCTATCATGTGCACATGAAGTACAGTAAATAAGGTCCCTGACCTCGAAGAGCTTACACTGGAGTACATTAACTATGATGTATATGAAAAACTGTAATGTAAGTAGACAGTATTGAGTGCCCTCAGGGATGCAGCTCACAATTCAAAGCATTCGTTATTAATGGAGTATTCTTTGACTACTCTTACTTCTCTTCCTTTAGGTCTCCCCTTAACTGCCGGAGAAACTTTTCCTGATGAACTAACCACAGTAAAGCCTCCCCCTTTTAACACCTGTGTACTTTTCCTTCACAGCACTTAAAACAACTTCTGATTAAATTTATATATACAGGCATGGTGCAGTGGTTCACACCTGTAACCCCAGCACTTTGGGAGGCTCAGACAGGGGTGGATCACCTGAAGCCAGGAGTTTAAGACCAACCTGATCAACATAGTGAAAACCTCATCTCTACTAAAAATACAAAAATTAGCCCAGTGCAGTTGCTCATGCCTGTAATCCCAGTTACTGGGGAGGCTGAGGCATGAGAATAGTTTAAACTTGGGAGGCAGAGGTCACAGTGAGCCCACATCACGCTGCTACACCCCAGCCTGGGTGACAGAGTGAGACTGTGTCTCAAAAAGAAAAAAAAAAGTTTATATATAAACTTAATATAGATACATGTTTGTATATAACTTTATATAAGTTTAAACGATTCTAATGCCTATATAATAGCCAATTTTACATTTTTCTCCATTACTGGACTAGAAATCTATAACAAGGATCGTATATGGTTCCCCCCAGTCCCCACTGAATTATATATCCCACTGCCTAATAATAGTCTAAATATAAATATATTTTTTCAAGATGTCCAAATCAGGCTCAGCAATATGCCACATCCCAAGCTACGTGCTACAAAGTATCATGATGAATAAACTTAGTCTTTGGCTTAAATAGGTTTAAAGTTTGGAATACAAAGATTCCCAAGGCTCAGAGACAGATTAAATGATGAAACACTATTTATCCCTTAACTCTCATCTACCATTACCACAGAATTCAGTAATTAAGTCTATTAACCGTCCTAAGAGATACAACAAATTAGAAGATATTTATGTAATAGTATTTAGAATACAATCCTCATTTCAAATGCAGATACTAGAAAGACGGATAAAAAGGTAAAAAGAATGTACCTTTCCATATTTGCCAAAGAGGTTCTTCAAATCAGCAGCTTTGGTATTAGATGAAAGTCCACTAACCCAGATATTTTTAGTTGAGCTTCCACTGCTACCACTAGTACTACTTGTACTTCCTAGAATAGATTTAATATCAGATGTTTAAGTATCTCAATCAGAATCTTTATACAAAATTAAAAGGGCCACATTCTTTCCAAACTATAATTTTGATAGTATGACATTACTATATAAAAATCCTGTGTTTATTATTATTGAAATCAAACAAGACAACATAACTAGTGAGGGAAAAAAATCTAAATATATGTACATTTCCTATTGTATGAGTTCTAAGTTGAAGAGGGTAAAAAAATCAATTTGCTGTTCAGTTTTACTAATTTATAGTCTACCACTGCACTGAATAGAGACAACCAGGAAGCAATCACTTAGCAATGAACAGACTGTTTAGTTGCCACATCTGCTGTGGGCTTTAGATCCTTAGAAATTGACATGGAAGAAGAAAAAGTCAGAGTAAGGTATACATTTTTCAAGAATTTACATGGTTAATAACAAAGACAAACCAACTGGTACACCTTCATTCCCTATTAGAGAATAGGTAAGATGGCCGGGCGCGGTGGCTCAAGCCTGTAATCCCAGCACTTTGGGAGGCCGAGACGGGCGGATCACGAGGTCAGGAGATCGAGACCATCCTGGCTAACACGGTGAAACCCCGTCTCTACTAAAAAATACAAAAAACTAGCCGGGCGAGGTGGCGGGCGCCTGTAGTCCCGGCTACTCGGGAGGCTGAGGCAGGAGAATGGCGTAAACCCAGGAGGCAGAGCTTGCAGTGAGCCGAGATCCGGCCACTGCACTCCAGCCTGGGCAACAGAGAGAGACTCCGTCTCCAAAAAAAAAAAAAAAAAAAAAAAGAATAGGTAAGACAAAATGGGAATTATATGCAGCTGGATAACTCTAGAGTCAGTAAGAAACAATCTTCTGAAACAACTACAAGATTAAAGATCAGAGATCTCAAAATCCTTTATAACAGGTAAATGATTATATGAATCATTTCTGTACTATGTCACACACGAATTATGGCTTCATACGTATAGAGGCCGTATCTTAGGATACAGGCCTAGCCAGTCACCCTTTTCTTCAAATGTGCTGTAATAAAAGGGAAATTTTCATTCACTTGACTTTATCTGGAAAATAATTTTTACTCACTTTAAAAGAAACAGTATACAAGCAATTAAAAGGAACAATTTCTATATTTCACATTAAATGGAGAAAGAGTAAAAATTTTAGATGTTTTAAAAAATTACATGTGTTAACAGTTGTGAAGCTACTTTCAGCGTAGACTCAGAGGGAGAAAAGATAACACATACCTGGCTCAAATTTTTTAAATATTAATGGTTGATACTTGATTCTGTTCTTACAAAGGGTATTCATCAAGGACCTTATGAAATGTTAACTCAATGTTTGTGTATCATTTTTGTTACCAGTAACATTTGGGCCCAGATATGTTACTAATTACAGAAAAAAAATTTTTTTTTTCCTTAAAAGACCAATTGGCTTAAAATAAACTATAGAAGATGCATACAATTCTCCTTTACACATTTAGGAGGTATTTAAAAGCTTTGTAGTACCTGAATGTTTTATTTTCCCTTAAAATTCTTTTGTAGAAAGTAAGTATTTTTTAAGTAAACACAGCACATGTACAAGATGAAACTATAGCTCATGGGCATGAGATTTCTCAGTATCAGAAAGCAACTAAATATTGCACTTTGAAACTTACAAGAATTGAAAAAAAAGAAAAACGAACACTAGACTCCACAAATACACACAAGTATTATTTAATTAGCTAAGATATACTATTCAAAATAGTACCAGAAAGTATAATCTGTGAACAGGGAAAAGGTTGTGGTGATATACAGTAGTTATAAATGAGTTAACAAAAGATAAAATAGTTCTGAAATTATAATGTAAGAAAATATCTATTAATATCCAACACAGTCCCTTGGAACACACCAGATAAGTGTTCCCTAGCCAATGGGTTTTTAACATACCCAATACCAGTTTACAAAGTAAGTAAACAGTAACACATCAATCAGTTTTCTATAATATATATAATTCCACAGTTTACATAAAGACCATCTCAAGTTTCTAGCCTGTCAATAAAATTCTTAAGGACTAAATGTCAAAGAAAACACCACACAACTACTACTTTTTAATGAAAATATGCAATGTCAACACTGAAATAAATAGGGAAAAAAACCCTTTACCTTTGTCATCTTTAGATGATGTCTTGCTGTCTTTAGATTCCTTTGAAGAGCTAAAGAGGCAAATCACCAGAAGAAAATTGAAAACAAAAACAAAACCAAACCCAAAATAGAACAGCTTGATATTCACTATATTTCAAACTAGTGCTATTCATACAAATTAACAATTCCAAAGGCCTAGATTAGGTTATTTGAACAAATGACTCCCTGAGGATTCTTGCACTGATTTTCCCCAAGATGCCTGAAGATCTAGATTTTCTGACAATTCTATTCAGTGGAAATATGGCCATCTTCTCCAGATTTCAGGACTGGGACTTGACTTCATTTTGTGTTCTTAGAACTGATAGTTGTTCATTAACCATCATCACAAGGATTTTAAAAAATAAAACACAAAAATTGTCAATTTGAAAAAAAAAAAACAAAAAACAACAAAAAAACCAAATATATGCTGACATTCGACAATGCAATCAGTAGAACACACTGCATTATTATGAAGATCTTGAAAATTTTTAAAAGTAACTTATGACGGTCAAAAATATTATAGGCAGGATCATAAGACACTAATTACTGTACATGTTCTTGAAGCCACCCCCTTAATGTAGAGTGATCTTATTGAATGCTGGAATTCAGTATCGTAAAGAACTGACATAGAAAAACAAACCTCTTTGCTTGACCAGAGGCCCCAGTAGACGAGGGCCCTTTCTTCAAAGTATCCTTTTCTTTGTCTCCAGATTCTGCTTTCTTAGAACTTTCTCTGGCTTCCTTCTCGACAGGGTCACCCTTCACGCAGTCTTCCTTCTTACCATCTTTATGGTTCGCATTCATCTCATAATCCTTGCTTTCCTTCTCCGGGCTCTGTGCAATGGCGTCCTGCCCATCTTTTGGCTTACTTGCTTCAGAATCTGTAATTTTCACATTTTTACCTGTTTCTAGGAGGTCATCACCATCAAAATCCAGAGTGATGGCATCTTCAGCCTGGATTGTGACCGAGATGTTGTCATCCTCAGCTTCTTTCACAGTCGTATGAGCTTCCATCTCTTCATGAGCTGTGTGATCAGCCTCAGCTAGGCTCCCTTCTGAAGGAAGAGGTTTAGATACTTCTTGTGTACCATCACCAGAACCTGCTATATCTAAGAGGATTTAACAGGAATAAATATGGCAAAACAAGAAGTTTAAACAATTTCATATTCATAAGCTAGAATAGGACCTAGAAAATATAAAGCCAGTTATTAGCACTGATGGAAGGTTAGGAGGAAAAAAAAAAAAAAAAACACAAGGGTATTAACTAACATAAACCATCCTTTACCCAGGATCACTTATTCTTCATGGAAAAAATGATCTCTACATACAAACACCAAACAACAACAGTGAGAAAATGGTTCCATCCTGAAGATACCAGCTCTTCATTTCTGGTTATAAGTTAATGGCATATGGAAGATTTTGTTCCTCCAAGGGACAGTGACAAAAGTGCAGATTGTTGTTCAATGCTCGAATTATCCTGGGATTGAACCCTAGTGACCTTCAGAACTCCCATGGTGACTTCTTGACAGGTCACAGTCTGAGGATATCAATCAGTCTTCACAGTATTTCAGGGCCCCATCTTTTTCACTCTTCAATGCTTGAGTAGTCCAGATTCGTATGGAAAACTGCTACAGAAGGCTCCAAAGATGCTCCTGCTCCGTAACGTTCAGGAAATTGGTTATTTCCAGTCTTCATCCTGTCCAGTCAGTCTGCAATTACCATTTTCAAAGATGTCTTGCATTCCCCCAAAACAGAAAGGCTTCGGGCATGTGACATTTTCAGTCAGTAGCTTTACTTCGTCATTGCTTCTAGGCTTTTTATTTGCCTTGCTTAACCCTGCTCCATGTCCTTTCTAGTCCAAAGTAGGATCCTTTGACTTCTGTCCAAGGACTCTTCCATAACCTCCTACTGACCACATGTATTACTACTGTTGCCCCTGTAATTGTATTGAATGAGACAGCTCGTCTAAACTAAAATTGTCAGATGACCGTATGGAAGTTTCTCTAAGCAGCAAACACAAAGTCAGTCTCCTGGTCATTCATCATATTTAGGACTAGTTGTAAAATTCACTGTGAGTTATGCACTCGGACTCCAATAAGCACACATGAGTTACTGCAGTGTCAGTCTTAAGAATTTAATCAACTTACCGTATACCAGAAGTTATTTTAAAAATAAAAATTGGATTAAATAAAAAATAGCATTGCTCACTACAGTAACTGATATGTACTATTAAGTTGGAATATATCTTTAGTGTTCAAAAGAAAAATAAAACCAATTGGAAAATAAAATCAAGATGCTAACTTAATTCACTAAATAGATAAATTTGAAAATAAACTAATTTCAAAAATAAGGTTTCAAATAAGGAGTGCTTTATTTTCACATAATTTACTGTTTTTCTAAATTTTAGCAATTTTTAAACTCTATTCAGCATCAAACATACCTTTCTCATTTTCTTCTTCCTCACCATCCTGAAATTCAAAGAATAATCAAATGTAAAATGAATTCACATAAAACTAGATTTTAGTAATAGTACAAAATCAGCCAAGTGAAATTTGGTGGATAGCTTCATATTATTATGTAGGGATACCTAACACTAACAAATAAATAGGCTATTCCAATCAAAACCAGAGTCCATGTAGAGAGAGATGTGGCACAAGTCTGGGACATCTTAGAAAACAGGTGTATCTATCAATGAGTAGATCAATAACAAACTGGATTAATTTTGGTATTCAAAACTAGTTTATATAATCCAATTCTTCCTCATATCAAAGAGCTGTCAATAAGAAGACTGACTTGATGATGTGTTTTATGTTACTCAGTTCACAGGTACTCCTAGCTAAGATATACTATTTAAAATAGTACCAGAAAGTATAACCTGTAGACGTAACTTTCAAGTGCTTGGATACACAGTAATGAACAAATCAAACAAATAACACTCCCCTTTAAGTATATCAGACATTAGAAGAACAGTTACTAAGTCAGTTTCAAATTATTCATTCTTTTAATGTGTTAAAAGTGAGTTCATATCAACCACTGCACTCCAGCCTGGGTGACAGTAAATCCCTGTCTCAAAAAAAGAGTTCATATTTGTCATACATATACTGATGGCCAAGCCAATTTTAAAATGGTATTTGTGCTATAGGGAATTAAAACAAGTAACCCACATATTTTTAAAACATGATTTTAATTTTAAAATATTTGACAGCTTCACTAAAATTAAAATTGAGAATGTGCTAGCTTAAAAATAGAAGTGTCATAAAGGGGAGAAGCTTAATTTGCTCTACCAAGCAAATAATGCAAACATCACTGAAGTAATCAGAGCAACAGAGAACCAACATTTTCCCAAACATAAGACTATAAAGAATAAAGTGATATGCATTCTAATCTCAATAACTGAAAAAATTACATAATCATTTTACTTTTTAGAGACAAGTCTTGCTATTGATGCTCAGGTGCTCTCGAACTCCTGGCCTCAAGCTGATTCTCCCACCTTATCCTCCTGAGTAGCTGGGATTACAGATGCAAACCACTACGCTTGGCTTAACAAATGTTTTGATTTTTTTTTTTTTAAACAGCTTCTTACTCTGTCGTCCAGGCTAGAGTGTGGCAGCATGATCATAGCTCACTGCAGCCTCAAACCCTGGGCTCAAGTGATCCTCCTGCCACACAGCCTCCTGAGTAGCTGGGACTACAGACGTGTGCCACCATGCCCAGCAAATTTTTTTTTTTTAATTCTAAGTGGAGAAGAGGTCTTGCTATGTTGCCCAGGCTGGTCTGGAACTCCTGGACTCAAGCGTTCATTCCTCCTGCCTCAGCCTCCCAAAGTTCTAGGATTTACAGGTGCAAGCCACTGTGCCCTACCAAATGTTTTATTAACTTTTTTTTTTTTTTTTTTTTGAGACTGAGTTTTGCTCTGTCCCCCATGCTGGAGTGCAGTGGCACGATCTTGGCTCACTGCAACCTCCGCCTCCTGGGTTCAAGCGATTCTCCTGCCTCAGCCTCCCAAGGAGCTAGGATTACAGGCACCCACCACCATGCCCAGCTAATTTTTATTATTATTTTTTTGAGACGGAGTCTCCCTCTATCAACCAGGCTGGAGTACAGTGGTGTAATCTTGGCTCACTGCAACCTCCACCTCCTGGGTTCAAGTGATTCTCCTGCCTCAGCCTCCCAAGTAGCTGGGACTACAGGCACGTGCCACTACGCCTAGTTAATTTTTTTTATTTTTAGTAGAGACGGGGTTTCACCATATTAGCCAGGACAGTCTTGATCTCCTGACCTCGTGATCCACCCGTCTCAGCCTCCCAAAGTGCTCGGATTACAGGCGTGAGCCACCGTACCCAGCCTAATTTTTATATTTTTAGTAGAGATGGGGTTTCACCATGTTGACCAGGCTAATCTCGAAATCCTGGCCTCAGGTGATCTGCCCGCCTCGGCCTCCCAAAGTGCTGGGATTATAGGTGTGAGCCAGCATGTCCAGCTTTTAATAACTTTTAAAAGAAAAACTAATCAGAAGTACACTGTTTAAAGTCAGGCGATGTGAAGCTTGTTGTGAAATTACCACATACAAAGCCTTAGAGCAGTGGTTCTCAAACTTCAGCATGCATCGGAATCCCCTGGAGGGCTTGTTAAAATAAAACACAGATTTTGATTCAGAAGGTCTGGAATGAGGCTTTAGAATGTGCATCTCTAACAAGGTTCCAGGTGAAATTAATGCTGTTGGTACAGAGAGAACACTAAGTATTGCTGCCTTTACAGAGTAACAACCTCTTAGTGAAAAAAGACTAAAAAAGTTGAAACATAAGTAGAACTTTAAACGGCTTATTTATAATACAATTTTAGATTCATATAAAAGCATGCACTTCTTAAAATGTCAAATATTTTACAGTGTGCTCAAAAGTACATTTGGATAATAATTTCTTTTTTCAAAATATTTCTTTCTTTTTTAAACTTGTGTGTGTGTGAGACTGTCTCACTCTGTCACCCAGGCTGAAGTGCAGTGGTGTGATCTCGGCTCCTGCAACCTCTGCCTCCCAGGCTCAAGTTGATCCTCCCGCCTCGGCCTCTCGAGTAGCTGGAACCACAGGTGTGTGCCACCACACCTGGCTAATTTTTTTGGTATTTTTTGGTAGAGACAGGGTTTCACCATCTTGCCCAGGCTGGTCTCGAACCCCTGAGCCCAGGCGCTCTACCTGCCTTGGCCCCTCAATGTGCTGGGATTACAGACATGAGCCACCACGCCTGGCCAACAATAATAATTTCTATGAATCATTTTATTAATAAATGATATTTGTACTAAGTTAAAGTGTGCCAATTAGGGAATGACCAATTATTTTACAACTAGGGTAACATGAAAGAAACTTAAAAATACTAAAAAGCTCGACCATAAGCTGAGAAGTAAAATAGTCCAGAACAAGTAAATCATCAACTCACAGCAATGTAACTTCTATCACTATCTAAGTCCATTATACTGTGCTCTAAGAATTCCTCTTCATTTTTTCTGAGACAGAGTCTCACTCCGTCAACCCAGGCTGGAGTGCAGTGGCGCGATCTCAGCTCTCTGCAAACCTCCACCTCCCGGGTTCCAGGGATTCTCATGCCTCAGCCTTCCCAGTATGCGCCACCACACCCGGCTAATTTTTTTGTTTGTTTTATTTTGTTGAGACTGAGTGTCACTCTGTCACCCAGGATGGGAGTGCAGTGGTACAATCTCGGTTCACTGCACCTCTGACTTCCTGGTTCAAGCGATTCTCCTGCCTCAGCCTCCCAAGTAGCTGGAATTACAGGTGCGTACCATTATACCCAGCTAATTTTTGTATTTTTAGTAGAGGTGGGGTTTCACCTTGTTGTCCAAGATGGTCTTGATCTCCTGACCTCATGATCCACCTGCCTCGGCCTCCCAAAGTGCTGGGATTACAGGCATAAGCCACCGCGCCCAGCCAATTTTTGTATTTTTAGTAGAGACAGGATTTCACCATGTTGGCCAGGCTGGTCTTGAACTCCTGGCCTCAAAGGATCCTATCGCCTTAGCCTCCCAAAGTGCTGAGATTACAGGCAGGAGCCACTGCACCCAGCCTGTAAGAATGTCTTAATAAATTGTTTTACTAGAATATACTTTTAAGCATTATGTGTTCAATTTGCAGTATTTGGAAAGGAAAGAAAAACATTTTAACTTGGGTGGAATGGTAGAGACAGCAAGGGAAGAATGAGTTATGCTTGAATTATGGATAAATCTTTTTCTTTCAAACTGTCTTTTAGTTTAGTAATTTTTCTTGAAGCAATAAACTGAGACACCCTAGCGTGTATTTAAAGCAGACTAAATGAACTTAAGGAATGCAACACGTAGCCGGGCATAGTGGCTCACGCCTGTAATCTCAGCACTTTAGGAGACTGAGGCAGGAGGTTCACTTGAGGTCACGAGTTTGAGACCAGTCTGGGAAACCTAGTAAAACCCTGTCTCTATTTTAGAAAAATATATATTTAAAAAAAAAATTTTTTTTTAAAGAATGCAGTTTGATTCTCCTTATCTACCTCAGATGCGAAGAGCACACCATTTCGAAGTTATTATTTTAGAGATGCAAAACTGAAAGGAAGCTTCAAGAAAAAAACATGTCCAAATTATTGGCTATTTTAAAAAGTAAAATTTTTAAAATACTATGATGTAAAAAAAAAATAATTTGTTCTATTGTAGTTCCTGTCAATTATAACGTTATTTCTAGTTGCTAAAGTAACTAGCAAGGTTTGTCTTACTTGCTGGAGAAGTTTTAGGTTTTTATCTTAATAATTCAGCATGTCTTCTGAAGGGTTTCATAATTTAAACAGAAATTTTATGACATATACTTAAATGCCGGTAGGGAAATGGCCTGACCCAACTTTTAGAAAACAAAACTGATTACAATGTGGGTGGAGCACAAAAACAACTTGGGTAAAGTAAAAAAGATGAACCACACGTAAATGCCTGTTGATTTTACTGCGCAGTATGTGCAGCAAGCATAGCACTAACCGTAAGTCCGAAGTAAGTCCAAAATACTTGCAATAAGGAAACAAACCAAGAAATATAATGGGAAATTTTCCCTGTCTAAATGGTATATATGCACAGACATGATATGCAACTATTTGAAAACAATTTCCCCCCATTGAAAACAGATTTTTTTTTCCAAATGAGGAAGAAAGCAAATAAGTAAATGTAAAACATTTATTTATTAAATGTAAAGCATATTTTAAAATTAACCACTCAAGTTTGTCTTAAAAAAATATTTAACATATGAAGAGGAAGCAAATGTCTACAAACTCATGTTGTTTATCTCACGGGGGGATCTGCAATCCTTAGTCAATGCTAAAAGACATAAAGTTCCTTTATTTTCATTTCGTCCTAGGAGCAGCAACGACTGCTAAGAGACAAAGACAAGCCTAGGACTTATTTTTCAGTGAACCAAGTATTTACTACACATTCAATTCTACTACTTCC